GCTATGTCTAAGCGTCAAAAATGTTTAACAGAGCATGAAATAGCAGAAATGATTGCAAAATATTTCAGATATTGATTCTGAAATTCTGATATTCTGATATGATTCTGAAATCTGATATTATGATATTGATTCTGAAAGATTAACTGAAAGACATTTCCAAAACTTTGTTCAGAAGAGACTGATAAGAAAATGAGACGACGATTGCTTCGTTTGTTCAACATTCCCGGAAAAATCCTCCAAAACGGCAAATGAGTTATTATGAGTGCAAGGAATGTAACGTAGGACTGTGTGTAGATCCCTGTTTCAAATTTTCATATGAAAAGAGAATTTTAAGTAATATATTTAGTTTTCAAATGTATAATGTTAAAAGTCATAAAATGGTGAGTAATTAAAATAAAATGTGTGTAAAATATGCATTTAAACAAGAAATAAGGTAATTAAAGATATATATATAAATATCTATAAAGCATAAGCCGTTTAAATACTCTATAGAGCATCATTAAACAATGCGTTGATACTTCGGAAATTTCATGGATTTAGGCTTAGTAGCAAAAAAGCCCCCAGCCCTGGAGAGACGCTCACGTAAGACACTGCCAGCCTATGTGATAAGCGCGCATTTTCGCTACCCGGCTCGAAGGGGTTAAGAAATAAGAGGCAAAACTCAGATAATATATACGAGGTAGGATTCAAGAGTTCCCAGACTGAGTTTATGACATAAATAATATTATGAATTAAATTGAAGAAACACATCCTCCTTCGAAATAAGAGCCTTGAGCAACAACATACTTTTGTGAGTGCCTGTAAAGTTCATCGAAGCATGTCTGGAATCCATTTTTGGCCATGTCCTTTGATTCAGCCTGCGATGCAGATTTAACTTCATCTGAAGATTGAAATCGACGACCCTGCAAGCGTATCAGGATTCAGGAAATAAAAAGAAATTGCAGTGTGCAAGGTCAGGTAAGTAAGGAGGATGAGGCAGGCAAAATAGTTGTTTTTATATTCGCAAGAAAGTCATTGATGAATAGAGATCGGTGAAATAGAGATCAGGAGCATTGTTATGGAACAGAGACCATGATTTCTCAGCAGGGCTGTGGAGTCAGTTGGGAAAATGACCGACTTAGACTACTGGAATTTTAAAGACTCTGACTCTGACTCCCTCATATATATATAATGTAAACATATACACATGGGTTACAGCTTATTTTTTTAATATAAAAGAAGTAATAGATGCTACAGGGAATAAAATTGATAGCATAGCAAATTATTTATATTAATTAGCATTTATTATGAAATGGAAAAACTGGCATTAGTTATTTCTAAGAAACAGTATAGCTTCGGCAAGATCTTCTTTGTTGAAGGGCCATAGATCTGATTTGGTAAACTTCAGAGCAGAGAAGAGTCTTTCCACACTAACTTGAGTAGGAGGAAGAGCTGTAACTGTTAGGGTTACTTCTTTTAACTTTTCAGGATAGATTTTTATAAGTTCTAACAGAAGCGTCTTGCAAGCACAATCATATTTCTCTATTTCTTCAAAGGCGGTGTAGAAATCTTGTTTGTATTTTTTCATTTTTATATCGAAAGGCTCTTGGTTCTTTATTTTCATTCACTTTGCCTTAGCCTTTTCAATATTATCCAAAAATATTTCTCAAACTCTAATTCATTACTGGAAGAATATGATAGAACTGTCCTGATTCGAATTCTCCAATTGTTCTGAGAATAATTTCATTCTTAATGAAAGTTCATAGATGGCTTTCTTTACCTTTTTAATTTGTTTGTCATCCAAGAAAATCCAGTGTTTCCGATCTACATATATTGAACCCAGCAAGATCTCATTGTGTAGCAAACTAGCTTCTCTTTTCTTCATTGAAGAAATGATTCCTTCTGCAATAAACCCTCCATTTCAGAAAGAACAAACTTCAGATTCTTCCATTCTCGCCTCCTGTCAGTTCTTCTGATTGCAACTTTTTTGTAGCTATACACGATGTAGAAAGAAGAGTTTCCAATTCTGCAAGATCATTCCCACAGTCTTTCTGTTAGTGAAACATTAGGGTTATCTGCATCTTCTAAGAAAGTTCTTAATTCTAACAACCTCTTTATCATTAAATATGTACTTCCTTATTGCGTTGCTTGATCAATAATTCTCCTTTTCCTGCTCGCTTCCTAAGAATGGCATCAATTTTGGGAGTTTTTGTTGCTATTGCTGCTTACCTAAATTTACCAGTGAGATTTGTAACTAAATGAATCAGTTTAATCACTAATGGCAAATATCACATCCATCCTCCTCCCTTATATTTATTAATTAATATGTCAATAAAATAGAAAATAACTATTTATTAAGGTATATAGTTCATAAATAAAAATAATAACTCAGTTTGTCATTAATTTTTTTTTCAATTCATTTTAATTTCATTTCAAATTTAAACTGTCCAACAAAAACAGGAGTCAGAGTCGACCTGTTTTTACCGACTCCAGTTCTGACTCCTTTTACCCCAAAATCTGCCCGACTCCATGACTCCGACTCCACAGCCCTGCTGTCAGCCCATATTTTTGGTCTCTTCTTCCGGATTGACTCACGCAAACGACGCAGGATTTCGAAGTAGAGTTCTTTGTTCACAGTGCGTCCTTCAGGATTAATTTCCAGATGCACAATGCCATGGCTATCGAAGAATCCTCCAGCTCGACTCTTTCCTTTAGAGCGATCTTGGTGGAATGTCTGCTTCCGCGGAGATAGTGATTTTCATGCTGCCGATGCTCTTTTGGTTTGCGGGTCGTACAAAAAACATTTCTTTGTCTCCAGTAACAACTCTGCCAAGTAGGGAAGGATCTTTGTCAACAGTTGAGATTAAGTCTCCCACCATTTCCATTCGAATTCCCTTTTGGTTTACGTTTAACATGCGGGGAATGATTTGTTGGCACAACCTATGCATGCTAATCAGTATGCATCCGTTAAGATGCTTAGTCAGTATCGGCTGACATGTGGCCTCTGATATCTCTAACTGTTTCTGTTGTTTTTCAAATTGTTTGTTGCCATGTTCGTACGGACCACTGCCGCAACACCTTTTTGATGTTTTCATCAGTGGTGCACGAAATCATGGAACGGCCACAAGCTGTTCATCATCTTTGGCACTTTCCCTGCTTTCTCTGAAACGACAGATGCCACTCAAAAGCTTGCATTCTTGATAACATTTCACTTCCGTGCACATGCTTCAACATTTCGAAGTCTTCATAGCACTCTTTCCCAAGCGAACACAAAATTTGATATTGATTCTCTGCTCAGCTGATGCCATTTCTTTCTGTCGCTGATTACTAAATGTACCTGCCTACAAAAAACACTGTCGCCGTGAGCTTTCAATCAAAGAATCTATAGGATCCTTCAACTTCTTTGCTTTCAACCACATGATTTGGGACAAACCACTTTTATAAAAGGGGGAGAATGTCGTAATACAAAAATGTTCTTGTAGTCGCACTACTGCAAAAAATGTTTACGTTATAGACTCAGTCCAGAAACCTTTGAATCCTACAACGTATATGTAAGATAAAATAATGTAAAGCAAAATTCTGACTTTAATTTACAAGTCTTCTAACACTATTTTTAATTTAATTATTTTCTCTTCGCATTCTATAGTAGTAAATACTTATAATATAGTATAAAATGATAATAAATCACTTCAAACTGCGTCATTTCAAAATGAAGTTTCCCTGCATAATTCTCATGTAATGCTAATGGTGCTGACGAAGCTTTGTATAGCACAAAATTGGACATGAAGGAAGCAAATGTATTTATGCATGAACAAAATCAATAAATATGTATTATACAATGCCACTTTTGGGTCAATAACAAACTGATGATAAAAGCTAAAAACAAACAAACAAAGCTTACATGAATAAGGTATATGACTACCACACTGTATCTTAAATTGTTAGGTCTGAACTAAAATGAAAGAGTTGATGAAGTTCTTTATACTGAAAGGGTATCAAATAATTAAACACCCTTTTAGTCTAAAAGGGTGTTTAATTATTTGATAATAAATTTATTTATGCCACTAAGTATATAAATTGCTAGTCCTAAATTAAGTCCTGAACTAAGAGAAGAGAAACACGGCAAAGTAATTGGGCAAAGCAACAGCCCTCCGTTAGCCATTTATTTTAACCAAGAGTCTATTGATTTCGAAGGTAGCAGATGCAGATCCCTCCTCATCAAGAGTAAAACAACTTCTTCTTATGGTGAGGGACCTGTACCTGTTGTTCTCAAAATGAATAAAGTCTTGGTTAAGAACAGAAGATTGTTTTTTTTCCTAATTAAGCCCTAAATTAGTTAACATTTTATGCACAAGGCATTAATGAAAAACCCTTAGTCTTTATGCTATATTCTATTTAACAGTTGTATGGTATATATCAAATTTTACAGACAGCCTTTAAAAGGCTGTTCTAAATAAATGATTGCATATTTCTTGAAATGTATCATTTTTGTAAATTTTAAAGAGATTATATGCTAAATGTTGCAGGAATTAAGGCAACAAGAATCAGTATAATATTCATAAATTTGGCGGAGTAGTTTTGAAGGTTTAAATATAGAATCATGTTCTTCACTTGTAAAAGTTCTTCCTTTCTCTCATTGTTATCACCTGGAAACAGTTTGTTCTGTTTGTCATTTATTTTATTCTTCAAAAACTAGTCCTGTGAATTTATGAATATTATGCTGATTCTTTTTCCGTTATCATGGTTATTCAGCATATTATTTTAACTTAGATTATAAAATAATTGAGATGAATGTGAATAGCATTTTTTCTTTTTTCTGTTGGATATATATGAATCAGGTGTTTAGTTTTATAATGATAATGATAAATATTAGCTCATATGAACCTCAGGTGAATCAAACAATAAGTCTTTAACTGAAAGAATAAGCATATTTGGTAATATGAATGTTTTATTTTTAATCCCATTTTTTTTCATCATCTTCATAAAATATACTGTTTGTTCAATATTGGTTTTTCTCACAGCCCCGAATATACAGAAGAGGAAGAGCAAGCCGAAGAGCTATATAATGATGCTGGTGAAGCTGACGATGTGCCAACTTGTCCAGTCCCTTCTTTACCCACAAAGCCAAAGAATCCTCCTCCACCTTGTCCATCTGAGTACCTGCAGCCTAATGTTCATGGTTCAAATGGTATGCATATCAGTATCTATTCTTCAATACTTTTCCTCTTCTCTTCAGGGGCGTAGCTAGAGGGGTGCAAGGGGGGTATCTGTCCCCGGGCGCAGAATCCAAGGGGCGCCAAACTGATGTTACAACATTTTAGAATTAAATGTTTTCCATCCTTGGTCAAGCAGTAGGGGGCCCAAAATCTTCAGTTGTCCCTGGGCTCTCAAAACTCTAGCTACGACTCTGTTTTTCTTTCTTCTTCCCTGTCTCCAAATTTATATCTGTATTAGGAAAAGTAGCTCTATCTGAAATCTCTTAATTGTAGATTTGTGATGCCTTAGTTTTAAATACTGTTCCTAATGTATTTCTGCAATGCTTCTAATGTATGTTATGTTTTGATTTCAGAGGAATTATATCAAGATGCTGATGGAGTAAGTATCAATATTTTTATGGCCATTTTCATTTTTGTGATTTTATACTCTATGTCCACAGAAGTCCTTTATTTCATATATACTTACAGTTACAGAAATATTTTAAATTGATATTTAAATTTAAAAAAATTAATTTTGCAAAAAACTGCAAAATTTAACTTTTTATACTTTCCTTCATTTCCTATATTCAGAAACATATTGTACATTTTTCTTTGTTAAAAAAAAAAAAAAAGTGTTCCTATGACAAAAATTGACCAAATTCTTTGATATTAATGTCAAATGTCATATTGAGGGGCTGCATGGCATACAAATGGGATAGTGAAATGTTTGCATTTGTTTGAACTAATAATAAAATGTCAGTTTAAAAAAATACATCTGATGCTAAGAGATTAAGTAAGGAGCATTTCCATGCCAATTATTGGGAAAAGTTTTCATCAATATCCCCAAAAAGGAAGATTTTATTCACAGAATGTTATGCAATTCCTGTTCTGAAAGCACTGGAACACTTTTGTGTCAACACATAGCTAACTTATAATATTATTTACAGTAATCAAAAATGAAAAATTTTTGTAATTTTACTAACAAAAATGTCTTGTTGGGACCAAATTTTTGTTTGCAAATAGAAAATAAATATAAATTTGAAATTTTCCCTTGTGTTACAATTATTATTATTTATGTATGTTTTGATAAATAGTTGGAGAGTTAAATTTAACATTTAGCTAAAATAATTTATATTTTGTTAATTTAAAACTCATTTTGCTTGGAAAAATTTCTACTATTTTCTGATCATCCATTTGAGCCATGTGCAGTTTGAGGCTACTGACTTGCGTTACTTTTATTTATGCACACACAGATATAACTTTTTTTAAAGCTGGTAAGTGTAAACTAAGTTTGTGGAAGTTCTTTAATTTCAGAATCTTGCAGAATATTATAAAATTTGAACTTCACAACTGGAGAAATTTGAACTCTGTATTAATAAAAACTTGATTTTGTATAAATATTTTTTTTTAATGTTAGCATAGTAAAATTGGTTTATTTATATCAAATTAATTTTTTTAGATTATTGCCTTTGTGATAACTTCTGAATGTATAAATAAAAATTTAAGAGTGTATATGATTTATGTTAATGGAATAAACCATTAGATATTCATAAAATGCATGGTATAAAACTTTACCTTGTTAAATTCACCCTTTCCAGAAATAAGTGGAATATAATTATTCTTTCATCTGGTTTACTATAATTTCATTGAAAAATGAATTATCAGCATAGAGAGTAATATAGATATACTGCAAATAATATTCTGCTGTTTTAGGTGCTCAGAATGTAAATGGTACGCAAAATGTATTTGAATTTAATTTAGAAACAGTGTGTACCGTGAAGTATTTATCTGCATATGAGAAGAAAATTGTTTTTTTTTCATGTATTATTTTGAGTACTGATTTAGCAGAATAAAATATTTCCCTTTTCATCATTCATTTCAGTATAATATATGCAAGCTTTATTTTCAAAAATTATGTTATTCATTTTTTTTGTTATTTGTAGCAATTTTAGCATGAATTTTAAAATTTTTTCTTTCAGCCCATTCAAGAGGAATTTTATGAAGAAATGCCATGTGATTTTATTCCCGAGTGAGTGCAAAATATACATTAAGTCTTTACAAATATATCTCAGTGTATTTAACATCTTACTTACATTGTTTAAAGAAATTACATTAGAAATGCAAACTGGTAATCTTTACAATCTTTGAATTTTAATAATGTAGGGATTCGGGGTCACCCTTATACAGTAATAACCGAAAAGAAATAGAGAAACTGCGAAGGGAGGAAGAGAAAAGAATTCGTAAAGAGCAAAAAGAAAAAGAAAAAAAGGGAAAAGAAATGGAAAAGCTGAAAAAGAAGTTTGGGGTAAGTGAATAAAGAAACTGATTGAAATATTACTCATACTTTTATTCTATAATATTATATTGCAATCAATTTTTACTAATTTTTGTCTCGTACATAAATTTCTGATATAACCAGTTCCTACTTAAGAATAATAGCAGAAACAAAAGGGGGTAAGGGAAAAGAAAGGAAATCTGAAAGGGTTCAAATTTTAATGGTCACTCAAAAGGGCTTGTTTTTATTAGTAGAGATTAGCAATAGAGATGACCCAGGTGGAATAGTGAAACATTTTAGAGGTTATTAATCTAACATTTTAGAGGTTATATTGAGATTAACATCAGGATGTTTTATACCCTCTACATATTTGAAAAGTCAAAAAACGTAGAATGCCATTCCATAAAAATATTAAATGTTTTCAATTAGATACATCATCAATGAAATGCATTTTTATTCAAATACATCTAATTAAAAAATTAAAAAATAATAATCTTAAGAACTGCATCTACATTGCTTTTCAATAGCTTAGTTTGTTAATCCATAACAGACAGATTCAATTTGAGGGATGAATATCCTATATTTTTCCAAATGGCAATAGATTCGAATGAAAAATGAAGCAAAGCATTAACATTAGATGACACTGAAAGCAACTTAGATCAAATAACTATTAGTCCTTTTGTGCTAAAGAAAGGGAAGAAAAGCAGGAAAAAGAGAGGGAGAGAACAAAAAGGTGACAAATTCGAATATTTGCTTTTACACTCTTAGTATTTAAGAGGTCAAAGACTTTTCTTTGAGCTTATGCTAAGATATTTTCCAGCAGTATAGGCGAAACTATTGTTAACACCTTGTACTTGAATTTAAGTTATAAAATTGAGGAATTATAAACTGTCAGAAATGCATAACTGCTTTAAAATTTTGATTTTAAATTTATCTCTGGCTATTATGCCCATTATGGATTATCACTTCGTTCTCTTGAATGAAATAATGGGAAATGATTGTTTTGTTTTTCCTTTAAATATTTTTATTTCAATCATGCATTTTTAAATCTCTGTCTGTAATTTTTGGTAGTGTGTTTATTTCTTAGAGGAAAGAAAAAGTCATTAATAGATACAATAGTAAAAGTATAAATAACACATTGCCAAAGCAATTGGGAGTAAAAAATAAGTAGAAAATTTCCAAGAAGGCTGAAATTTCCAGACAGAAAGAACTTTGCATTCATTTTATGCAAGGTAAAAATTGTTATTGTTAATATACATAGACTTTAATTGATGTAGATGTTTAAATGTGGTCTTTTCTGCTCACGCTGCATAATTCTAGCATGTGGTTCTGTCATAGCGTAATTTTTGTTTCAGTGCTGTACTAAGAATAGAGAAACCAAAGTTCAGTTTCATCATATTTTGCTCTTTTAAAAAAAAAGGAAAAAAGTGCTCGTCAGACTGCGTGTAAAATTTATGACATATATGGAAAAGTTCTGCTTCTGTTGACATGATTCAAAGATGGTTTGAAAAGTTAAGCCTGTAATTTTCAGCTTCGAAGATGATGCCCACTCTGGAAAACTATCCTTTGCAAACAGAAACTATTGCTGAAAACCCAAGTTATACATTTAGGAACTGTCAGATAGAATATACATATATTCCAAATACTACAGCACATGATCATTTGAAGAAGATAGGGGTACCTGATACTTTAACAAAGCTGAATATGCTTGATCAAGTTTAAGCAAGTGATTCTTTGCTGAAAAAATAAAAAAGCTCTTTTTTTAAAAAAATATCTCATTGCTGGATTCTAGATACTAATATTATAAGAAAAAGATTATCTGGTAAACTGTGGATCCCTTTTGGTAACATCGAGAGGAGGGCTGCATCCTAAAGTGTAATGCTTTCTGCTTTATGGAGACTACAAAGGAGTTGTGTTCTATAAGTTGTTACCAAATCAGAAAATAAATTTGGAAAAATACTGTTCCCAGATAGCAGCTTGAAAAGCAAAAATCAAAGTATCCAAAACTGACGAATCGTCAGAATGTTGTCTTCTATTGCGATTATCCTCTGTCCCGCATTTCAATGAATATCAGACAAAAATTTATTGAGTTTTCCTGAGATGTTTTATGTCACCCTAACCCCATATTCACTAGATCTTGCACTCTCAAATTATAATCTCATTGGGCCTAGGTTTAATTTCTGAATTCAGAAGTGCCAGAACCCTGGAAAGATGTCAGAAGAAAGGAAAAAATAAATAAATAAGACAACTTCTAAAGTAATAAAATAATTAAAGTAATGAAGTAATTAAAATTTAAATAAAATATTAAGAATGAGAAATATTTAATAAACTTAAAATAATGATAAATAGTTACTGTAATTTCCGGAAGAAAGGCCTCATCAGCGTAAACACCGCACTCGAGAAAAATTAAAATTACACAGAAACGCCACAATAGATTAAATTGCACGTGACATCGTCGTGGGCTGTATAGATGCAAAATCTCAACTTATGTCCTGATATATGACATATCAGTTAAGAAAAATACATAAAATGAAATCATAACTCAAAAATAAATTAAAGGTAAGAAATGTTGAAAATATATTTATGTTCACGAATATACTTATATTTACCCACTAAAGAAGTCCATATTTGTAATACTCAGACTATATAATAAAAAAATGTTGCAACAACGAAATATTAAATTTGGATGACAAAAGGAAATTTTAAAATTTTACTTACAAAAGGAATTACAGCAAACTATACATCATATGAAGCCATCAAAATCTGATTCTTCACTATCTGAATTAAAAAGATTTAGTAAATCCTGATTTAAGTCCAAGTCTTCCAGATCGTCACAACCCATTTCCACGCACTTTCTACCCACTTTGCAACTTCTTCATAAGATGCTTTACGAATTTTACCGCTTTTGGTATACGTATGCAATCCATCACTCATCCAACACTCCCACCGCTTTTGGACTTCAGCTTTGAAGGATTTATTACCTGACAAATCTAATAGTTGTAAGACTTTTGTCAAACCACCAGGAATTATTGCTACAGTCGTAGACAATTTTTAATATCTGGTTTTCACTGACTCAAGTAAATGAGCACGCATCGAATCCATTGTCAATAACCCTTTTGGTTGGAAAAAAGATCCCTTACGACACTGCCAAACTTTTTTGTAGCCACTTATGCATGATTGTTTCGCACATCCAGCCATTCTCGTTTGCACAAATAATTACGTCATTAGGAAAATCTCCCTTCAGAATAGTTTTTCGTTTAAAAATGATCATCCGCTTTAGCTTGTCACCGTTTGCGGCACAAGCTAACACACATGTAAATGATCACACATTGTGCCCCGTCATAAGCACAGATACAGTTTTTGCACTAGTTTCATCAACAGTTCTGTTTGCAGGAGAGTCGAAAGCTAATGGCGTTTCATTTGTTGCCCGACTGTTGTTCTAATACGTCTAGAAATATTTTTTCTTTTCATAAATCTGCTACACGAGCAAGGCCCTCCTTTGAAATCATTTATGTTCATTTGTTTTGCTATAAATTTTGTTTGTAAGCGAATTTTTACAGTTGAAATTGCCATTCCCTTTTCTCATTGCTCCTTTATCCAGTTTGCAAGGTTGTCCTCTAGATTCGGCCACCTTACAGTACCACTTCTTTTGGCTCGTTTCTGTTGTGGCATATTTTAAAGTTCTTTTTCATTTCTACAACGTTGAACTCGTCCACTTCAAACTCTCGAGCTGTTGCTCTATTTCCAATTTGTTCAGCACATGAAATTACATTAAGCCTAAAATCAGCAGTATAGCTTCTGTGCCGCTTAGGTGCCATTTTCAGAAATTTTCCGCTCCCTTCTTACTTAAAAACTATCCAACATATACTTGTACCTAAACTGATGGGATCTGTATCTGGCAGAATGCCAAGAAAAATCGATTCATTCTGAAGAGGAAATATGTCAGAGTTTGTTATTGTGAGGGCAAGTGGAGTCGTGTCCACCTTTGAAAAAAATTGCAGAAAAGGCAGGGGTGGGGAGAGAATGGGTCCTGGAAGATTCATCGAATGGCAGGGGAGGGAGACTATTCAAAATGATGAGAATGCTGATTTGAAAGGGGGAAGAATGTTCTGAGATCCCGTTTAGGGTGAATAAGGCATGTAGGTCCGTTCAAGGAAAAAAATGTAAACAAAATAACGTTCGCAAAAAGCAACTGAGTGGTCTTTTGTGTGGGAACAACTGAGTGGTCTATGTACAACGAGAAGGCCATCCAAACTATGTACAATGGCAAAGTTATTCAAACAATGCACAATGACAAAGTTATTCAAACTATGCACAATGACAAAGTTATTCAAACTATGCACAATGACCATCAAAGGAAATATTTTATTTTTAGTGCACCTAAACGCCACACCCGCTGAAAATTTTAAGTTTTAAACACGTAAACGCCATGGCGTTTCTTCCGGAAATTACGGTACATAAAATAGTTATTATTAGTTTAAATTAAAACTTCAACTAATAATAACTTAAAACTAATAATAAATAGTAAAATAACAAAATAAAATACTGAACATCTTTTTTTAGGGCTGGAGATGAAATTACTGTTTCATTTAAAAACTAAGAAATAGCTTTTCCAGGTTCTAACTGAATTTAAGTCCTGAATTTACAGTATAATGTACAAGGGATGATAGGAAAAAACTCCATTTTTTTTCCAGCATACTAATGCAAAAAGTTAAAAATGGTTAAAGCTCGCTGATGAATATAATATAACAAGAATGCTAGATACAGTATGAGAGTATGGAAAGAAATTTTAACAGTGATGAGTAGGTATGGAAATAAAGAAAAATAAGAGTCCAACACTTACTGACAACCAGTGCCGTTCCTAGCGGGGGTACAGCACGTAAAAGTACATGGGCGGTGAAAACCAGGGGCAGCTGGACTCTCACGATATCATACCTAAATATTTTAAATTCATTAAATTTGTTGTAAGTAGTTGTCACATGTAAGTACTTTTATACAGTTTGTCAAACATAAGTATTTAGTAAGCATGAAATAAAAATTTTATTAATCATTGAACATTTTTGTTTAAATTTTGGGGCAACAATCTTAGAAAAGTATGTGGGCAGCCAATGGCTTTGCTGACAACAATTCTCTGCCAATTTAATTCGTGCTGTCAAGTAGAATGTAAAAGGAGAAATATTCTTCCTGAATCCGAGGCTTGGTTTGCAAGATGAGAGCAAGTGTAAGCTTCTGTACAAGTGACAATTTTCATTCTCCATATGGTTTCATTTTCCGTGGGAAGTAGCTTAATTTTGGAGGTGGACAACCAGGGTGATCGCTGCCAGTGCCAAACTTACATATAAGCTGCACAAGCTATAGCTTTAGGGGCCCCACTTTCTTGGATCTCCCCCAAAAATTGTATTACATCCCATATAAAAAGAATTGACTTATATCCCTCATAATGAGCCCCATATCTCAAATAGCTTAACATCTCGTCAAATTTAAATCTTGTCCTGATCACTGCTAGTACTTTTAGCAGCAAAAAATTTACCCACCATCATAAATTTATTGCACTTCATGGAGAGCAAGTTTTTGACTTATGGATGGGGACATTTCTTTCCTTAAAAGCCTCAGTTTCTGTCAGAGACAAATTTTCCAGGCAAAGATAAACATGAATTCAGAAGTTAGAATCAATTTTTAAAGCTTACTTGTTAAAATAAAATTTTCAAAATCAAAAGAATCTGCTGCTGAAATTGTGATTCACTTCTATAAACGAAGATAAACTAGATACCAGAAAACTGGTTCAGTGCCAAAGCCCCTTTTATTTAGGTCTGCAGTGTGCTCTGGGTACAATTACCGTTTATCTCAAAACTCGAGAAGTACTGGACAGGCTCTGGTGCAATTTAAGCTTTCACGTTGAGCCTCTTCAATACTCTCTGAATAGATTGGGATTAACTTCTTTAGAAATTGTCAAACTGTACATCAATAACTTCTTTATGAATAAATCTAACTTTTTTAAAAGAGGATTTTCCCACCTAACTGAAAAATTGCAAATTATTGTAGAATAAAATGATGCTTATGGAAGTGAAAGTTTCTTATGTTCTTGTCCTGCATCATATTTATTTATCATAAAAGAACCACATGACACATTTTTTATGTAGAGAAATATTATTGAAAATATTGCATAAATAAGTAGTGCTTTTGAAATAGGATTGATTTTTTTAATAATCTGGATTATCAAAATGTTTGAGAGTCTTTTTTTAATTTCATCAAAAAGCATAGTTTGAATTATGCATTTAGTCTTAGTATACTATTAATCATATTTTAGTTATCTAAAACAAGATCTGACAAAGTGAAATGTTTGCATACCTTCTTAAGCACATTAGTGAATAGATTTAAATAACTAATGCTAGATATGATGCAGAGAAATACAATAGTATCTTTTTTGATAACATTAGGTGTAGAATTTAAATATTTGTGATGTGTGATTTATAATTTCTTAGTTGGAAATGATGTATTTTCATTTTATTTATATGTGTATATGTATTTCATCATCTGTTGTTTCTGTTTTTAACTAATGTAGTTGACTGGTGAAGAGATACCTATTGATGATGGACTGGTAAAAGCAGACAGTCGTGGTGGTAAAGGAGATTTAGCTGTTAAGAAAGGTGAAACTGTTCTAATTCTGCGCATGGAAGGAAATCCTTCAGGCAGGTGGCTGGTAAAAAATGAAAAAGGAAAGAGTAAGTATTTATCAAGAAAGTGGTGAATACTTAAAATACATAAAACATGATATCTTGTATTATATATTGTATAGTTCATTATGATATGCTGCATCTACTGAAGTCTTTGCCAAGCCTTTCTTTTCTCAGATGTCTGCTGTAGACATAGATTTCCAGTTACAAAAATGTTTTAAATAATGCAAAGATTCATGTTTTGGCATTTTTAAATTTAAAAAAATCATTTTTTGAAAATTACGAAATCTAACTTTTTGTATGTTGCTCCAGTACTTATATTTAGGAAAATGTTATACTTGTTATAAAAAAAATATGTTGACTAAATGCTTTATTAAACATTTCTTTCAATAAAAGTTTTTAAGTTTGCTTTGTTTTACATAGTTTCTTGTTCAGTTGTAAAGTTTCATCATAATCGTTGTATCGAGAATTCCCACTAAATTGTTGTTAACAGAAATTATTTCATCCTCTACAACCTGAATGTCACTTCATCAGTGATCAATGTTATTATGAAAAATATTAAATATGCATGCATATAAAGCATTAAAAAAATTGCTTCTGGTAAACTTTTCAATCATTCTAGATATTGCACATCTAGATGCCAAATTTTTTGTGTTGTATATGATAACTTACTACAGCAGCATTTGTAGTTATGCTTCTGATAACTACAAATATTAATATTATTTTTAATATTTGTAGTTATGCTTCTGATAACTACAAATATTAATATTATTTTTAATATAACATGCGATCAGATGCCTGTCATTTCTCATAACCATAATTTTCATCTCTTGAAGGACAGATTTAAAAAGAAAATGTAATAAAAAGGGAAAGAATGAAATCTAATACGGAATCTTTTTATAATGTTATATATAAAGTGACCACATTTCATTGAGACAAGTGGGACAAATGGAATGAAATGAGAATTATAAATTTAGTTATGAAAGCAGACCAATATTCAAAAAAATATATTTTATATATACATTCATATACGTTTTCTATAAATATACAAATATATATTTATTATTAACTATTGGTAACTATAAAAATATTTGTAAAAAAACAATAATTTGAATATTATGTTTTTTTTAATTAATTAATATTTTATTAAAGAAATTATTATTTTCTTTCATGGTTGTATTTTTTTATCTGAGTGAATACTTTGCAATAGATTCGGATCATTTATTAAAATGTCATGAAATTTCTCACATGAATTGGTCAAATTATATTTTAGGCTTAATACAGATTTTAAAGTTTTAATGTTCAACTGCATTTTTTTTTTCAATTGTCTATATTTTATTGATACTAGAAAAAACATGTTCTGTTGCTGCATTTGTTCCTGGAAGGGAGAGCGCATGTCCTACAATTTTCAAAATATTTTCATAAGGAATATTATTCTGTTTAAAATGAAGTCCATTTTTTGTCTGTTTCCACATTTGCAGACAACCAACATTAACGTTTTTCATCAGTAATGCATCTTTTTACCAATGCTACCTCATCATAAAGATCATTTTTGCAAATATTATTTTTCAGAAAGTGATTACTAATATATTAAAAAGATTTTTCCACATATTCCCATAAAATCTCCTTTTTTTAATGTCACCCAATGAAAATTTTTAATATCCTCGAATTGAACTGTCCATTCTTCAAGATATTCCAAGCAGTTATTATAAAAATTTATGACTTCTTTCAGAAATTCAGGTCATGTAATATGGCACCTTGTACTTCGAACCTAGTGATGTCCTTTCGAATAACTAAAGGAACATAATCATTATCAATTCTTTCTCACAATTTTGTTTTTAAATTATTGATTTCATTTGACACTTCCGTAATTGAAATTTTGTGCCCTTCAATAATTTTCACAGCATTGTGAAATAATGTAGCTTGGTTGTGGATGAACTGAAGACAAATTTGTGATGTGTCATTTTTAAAAAACAGCTGCAATATTCTTGGACATTTATCTTGTGATAGAAAGTATGATTTTAATGGTTTGTATATTTTTAAAATATTTTCTATAGCTGGTAAAAGAGCATATTTTACCAGTTGTAGCAACAACCATCGTGTTTTGCTGTAACCAATAATTCTTTTATATTCAATTTCTGTGCTTTCACAAAAATCCTTCAAACTTTCAACACGCAAAGTATATATACGAATACAAATACGAGTATAATACGAATAATTTTTTGCAACAATATTTTCAACATCCACTGGAAGTAAGTCAAGATGTTGTTTGATTAGTACTGTAGAATGTGCGCTACACAACCTACTCCGAATAAATTTTTATGGTTCAAACGTTCGTTAAGTTTCGTAAAAACATTATTGATGCCTCTTCTAGCTTTTCTACCAAAATTTGCGTTAGTATCAACAATAAAATTGTTACGTAGGAAAAAAAGAATGTTAAAATTACTTTTTACATTTAACTGTTAAACTCTTGGTGCCTGGAGTAAAAAAATAAACTCAATCTAAAACTAAACTACTCTCAGAGTCAAAATCCTAACACTTTATAATCAAAGAAAAATATCCTCCCTGGTGTTTTGGTAAAAGCAATGATTATTTATCAAAACCAAAATGTTAAATGGCATTTCCACAACAAAATCATTAACACGCTATCTCTCAGTAAAATAAAGCTAATTCTGATCTCCAACCTGAAAACGCATAAATTTCATCACAAATCTAGCGATAGCCATAAACCACATTACATTTAAAATGCAACACAAAACTCGTCAAAACACCAGGAAAAAATAAATTTCACACCAAGAAAGTCTACTCACAAAATCAAAATTAATTGATTAAGCTGATCGTATAGTCACCAAACTCTAAGAAACATTTTTCTACTTCTCAGGTTCGAATTGGGAAAAATACCATGTTTCCATAAGTAACACATGGATGACCTACAGTAGACCACAATTAAGACTCAAAAGAAACAACTCAAAAGAAACGTACAATAATTAAATCAATAAACACATTTATTAAATATTTCAAGTATTATAATTTTAGATAGCTGGCCAGACAAAAGTACTTTTTAAAAGTTACTCATTGTTTTTTTTTTTCATATCAATCTCATTTTTAACAATATTCAAATCACACTAAAATCACATTGATACACCTCACAGTTATTAATCTTTTTTAAACAGGTATTCAAGAAATTTAAACTCATGTATAAAGCTAATTTAGAATAAATCATATTTCTTTCAACTGTGACACATCAGTATATTTATCTTCGGTCATATTGAAATTAAATGAACATAGCAATTAAACATTAAAACAAAAATTCACTCCCTCAAATTCGTTCAATTATAACTTATAACAATTAAACATTAATGAAAATAAAAATCACTTTCTCAGCTATAAATTGAGTAACAATAAATATTCAAATTCTCGTCTACGTAACATTACAGCTCAAGCTTTAGAATTTAACATTTCCCAAAATCCTAAAGATTAATTATTAAAAGGAACGCAAAAATGAAAATAATAAAACTTACAGATTTGGAAACTCAAGGGTCCATTAAAGAATCTTGCCCTTTTCCTGATCCACACATAATGGTCCTCGAAACGATCGCTCTTGATGGGGAAAGCTATGCCTTCCAGAATTCAAAGATTGCCCTTACAAATATGATTACTGCAGGCAACTAGACAACAGAAGATGACTACAGTCAATAATCTCAGCCATAATCTGAATCTTCAGCGCGAAACCTTCGGGTTTATACTCGGAAAGAAACCACTTCCTTGATTCAATATTATCATCACAAAATCTGAATCTTCGGTGCAAGCAATTCAGGATCATAACAGGAAAAGATGTCATGCTTTTATTCAATATTCGATTCCATCAGAAAATCTGTCTCTTTCTACTAAAAACCACCATGATGAAAGCAAGATCAATATGCCACAGGACAGGAAAGACACTTCACAATGAGATCTATCACAATGAGAGTCCACACAGGCTCGGACAGGTCTCTGCAGCCAAAAGCAAAGGGGACGCGGTAATATCCCTTAACTGCAACCCACAGTCGACCCCTGAAAGGTTTCCTTTTTTTTTTTTTAAAGCTCTGCGACCACTCAGAAGAGTTGGTCAGAACTTGCACAGAAACTCTGCTTTTACCCACTGATCAGTGCAGCAGTCACATCAAAGACCGTGCGGTTCTGAAAAATCTGCTAAACAAAATCCGCCAAAATCTCAGTCTAAAATCTCTCCTGCCTTTCGTGCAATGGCTTAAGGAAACTCGGTTGACACTCACGAAAGAAACGCCTCTAATTCACTACTGGCTCAAATAATACTAAAATTAAAAAAAAATAGCCAATTTTAAGCAAAACTTGCCCCTACTAAGCAATTAGAAAAGAAGTAATAAATAGCTTCTAGAATTCACAGAAATCCCAACTTTCTCACAAAATGACAGACTCTTTCTTTCCCGTGCAACAGCGGAATATTTCCAATCATAATTCAGTTAAACTTGCGACATCCTTAAGTAGTAAACAAGTGACACAGTTCTCCACTTCAGAAAGCCTGAAATACATTTTCTCCTCCACACCCTAAAACATGTGGTCAACCCCACGAAAAGAGGAAATTGCAGCTGGGCAGTCTGACCCCTGACCCCCCCCCAAGAAGCCGACTTGTGAAAAACGGAAATACACCTGCACCCTTTTAACTGTAACACATCTTCAGCCAAACTTAAAAGAGCTTTGCCAAAATTGACCAAAAAGTTTAAACAATACTTCATTGTTCACAGTAAAATAATATAATTACTAAGAATATCTTATGCAAAGTAAAATAATATATAATACTTGTACACAACAAAATAATACATAACAAAATCGCAACAAAATAATACATAACAAAATCGCAACAAAATTATTGCCTCACAATAGGCAATAATTTTATTGTTCAAAATATTCTTTTTTAAAATAGTACTTATTGAATCAAAAGCTATTTATGAAGTTTCACCCAGCAGCCGCCCAGACGATATAGTGGTTAGGGGAGCCTGACTGAGATACCGAAGAGCCTAGGTTGAAATCCTGGAGAAGGCATGGTTGCAACTGTCCGTTCCTTCATAAGGAGGCAATGGTGGCACACCTATTAGTTGACTCCATAATAAAGAGACCACCATATCTGGCCTTAGCATAGCTTAATGGACTGTGTTACAAAACTGTAACTGTTCACAATCTGCCATTGGGGGGAAAAAGTTTTACCCAGCAATGAAACAAAATCTAATATTCTTAATTCCTGTTTCTGGATCAAAAAGTCGTTGGATCAAAAGTCAAATTGTGGGAATTAATTTTAAATCTTTGTGGTTGGAAGCATCATAATATATGGATATAAATGTGCATTTATCTAATTCTTTCTGTAATTGTGAAAACGAATATAGTGAAAAAACATTACAAATAATTGCTTCGGTTTTTGTCCTTGCATGTGCAAATTTTTTGTCGTACAATGTTTTGATCATTTGCGACATACGTACAATTAATTTATCTGAAATTTTAATTGTAGTTTATGGTGTGGAAAGCAAATAGCCCTTCAGCTAGTGCTAGCTGTTCATCCGTTAACAATACATATTCCTTGACGACGTAACGACAATGATCAAACACCACCGAATAAATCTAACTCATCATCACCTAATTTAAGTCTACTCTGCATGCATTTTATGTGTTTTTTATTTCTTTATATTTACTATAATAATTAATAAATAATAAGTAATATATTTTTATACATTTAAAATAAGAAATGCAGATGTTTTCTAAAAAGGCAATAATTTTTAAAAATTCGCGGGACTGTCCTGCCAAAATCGGGACTAGTTATATAGTATTAATGTTTTGTAATATATAATATTTGTGTATTATGTATTATAGGGTCTCTATGTATATATATTTGGCAAATATTTAAATATTGATGCAATTAGTTCTCTTTACTGCATGTTATTGCAATTGTCTTTGTGTTTTCCACACAGTCCTAACTATCATATTATCTTGCGTATTTATTTCCTTTCTGTTACTAATTTTATTGTTCAAAAATAGATTGGGGGAATTATGCGAGTCATTTAATTTCTGAAGGATTACAGTTACAGTAAGAACATAACAAATGAAAAGTAATCGGGGATAAACTACAAATAAGCATCCCATTATTACTTCTTTTAAAGAATCCTACACTCCAGTAAGAATACATAGTATTAGTATCACGATATAACACATCTTTATTTCTGCTTTCCCATAGTTTGAATCTCGCCCATTGTTATTGTTGTCTGTGCCACTCCTCAGGTCTGAAATCATCCATAAATAATCAGAGAACATGATTGCATAGCCAACTCAGTGAAATCATAGCCTCAACATTGGTTCATGTTTGCTTTGCCGTAATGGGTTGGTTCTTGCATTAAGCTGGCATTGAATCCATTTTAAAACTTAGGGAACTTCATTTTCTGAATGCATTAAGGAAGGGGAAAATGACATGAATATTTAAAATTTTTTTTCAGAACCTGATGCTAGTTGTAATTAAACTTGGCCTATTCAGAGCATTCTGTAACTGAAACTGTGATGCAGATTGATTCAAAAGTTTGTAGGTAGACAGTTCAAAGCATGAATTAAAAAATTCACCAAACAAAAAGTTAATTTAAAAAATTTCTGTTAGGAGGTGCGTTACATCGAAATACAAACAAGCTACAAATTCCAGTACAAATATCCTTTATTTGTTACAGACTGTTTAGCAATGTAAAATCAATTGTTCAATGTGGACACTGTCATTAAAGTGCAAACTGTGCAGGCAATGAATAAAGTGCTCAACAGCTGACCACAGCTAATAGCTAGTGGTCTTTCGCACATGCAACATGATATGGTTCTTCAGGTTAGCTGAAGTTACAAGATTTCCATGGTAAATCCCAGTCATTAAATGGTAACCTAACCAAAAATCACAGTGCTTAAGATCGGGAGAACAAGATAGCTAAGGAATAGAAAACGAATGGCCAATCACACTGTAATTGATAAAATGTTGATGCAGAAACCTCTGTCCACAGAGTCCATTATGTAGAGGGCCACTATCTTGCATAAAATTAGTGGATGCCAGGCTTTGTCACTGCTGAGATGAAGTACAATGAAACTGTTGAGCGTGTCCCCTTATCTGAGGGCTGTTACAGAGCATGTTATAGTGCCATTATTATAAGTTTCTTCAAAGAAGATTGGTCCAAGGTTAAAATGAGAAGTAAACCTGTATGAGATGGTAACTTTAGGTGAGTGTAGTGGAAGACACATGGCCACTGTGATAAAAATATGCTTTATCATTGCAGAGAAGATTCAAGGAGTTATTGAAAAGTGGGTATGAAAAGCCAGTGCAAAATATAAGCGATGGTTGGTGTTAGTAACAAGCAGATCTAGTTGTGGCTAATCATATATGGAGAAAAGTACAGTATTTTACTCAGTATCTTTCTTCCACACATTTCAATGCCATATGTGTTTGCCATGACACTGCACATGCACTACTGATATGATCATTCATAAGCGACAGCTTGTGAATGGCTATTGCTGCCTCTAAAAAGACATCTACACTAACCAGTTTTTGCCCTCTGCCGTATTAAATGCATAATGATCCAGTTTTCCAAATCAAGATATCGTCTCTTTTACACCTACTAGAGACATTAATCCTCAGTGTAACTTCTATATCGTGTCTTTTACACCTAGTAGAGACATTAGTCCTCAGTGTAACTTCTTTTGACTTCGAAATTCACGAAAAGCTGCTACAGAATTTTCTTGGTTTTTGCAAAACAGTTCCACGATTGGCACAGGTTCCAGTAAACTAATAGTCATCATAATTGAAAGACTGTGATTCACTCATTCTTGGAAATGTTAAAATAGCCCACAGTTATTTATTGCATGTCTTTTCAAGGCATTTTATCTGTAATGCCACCCCCCAGCGAATATTTTTTTAACTTTATCTTTCAAGAATCTTTCAACATATCCTTTATTTATTATCACTACAAATTTTTGAATCAATTTGCATTTTAGTTACACCTACAGAGTGCTCTGAATAGGCCATGTTTAATTACGATCACCTTGTGTGTAAATATACAGTCAAAAGTCGTTAATTCAGACACCCATAATCCGGAATGATCTATAATCCGCACCTCAAAGCTACGCCTACTAGCTAAACAAACTTTCTGCGCATGCGTCGCGTTGACGCATGCGCGTAAGACTTTTACGGCTGCGAATTTGCGTGTGCGCAAAATACGTTTACGAATGCGCGTTTAATGTATAACGGACGGTATAAGCTAAGCTAAAATTATCTAATTATCTATTTCAGTTAATGTTGCAGATTGCGTTGTTCCTTAATCTTTGAATTGGATCCTGCTTATTATTTTTTGCAGACTATTAGAGCAATTTTATAAAAGTAAGCTTGAACTTTCGATATGTCAAATAGAATTCTAATATGTAAAGGATTTGCAAAGCAAAAATATGTTTCGGAGTCTATTAAACAAAAAGTGGAATTGCTGCAAAAAATGGATAAAGGCATATCCTTTGTTTATCTAAACTTTAACGTTTTGTTTATTCTAAACTTTGTTTATCTTTAATGCCAGGGTGCGCAATGAATTGGAAGTTGATCTGTCAGCACTATCCTTATCTTCAGGGCAGATGTTTTTATTTTATTTGGCTTATAATTCCTTATTAAATGTGGTATTTCATCTCGATGTACTCCGTCTTTCATATGATTTAAATCAAATTCCTCGTTCATTATAATTCGCTTCCGATAGCGAAGAAAGTGACAGAGGTTATTGAAAACGAAAAAAAATTTCGATTGACATAATATTCGGTATTCTAGAGACACAGCAATTACAGGACTTGAACAAGCGGAACTTTATAACTGAACAAGAAATTATGTCTGTTTATAGAATTAAGAGAATGTATTATCACATAAAAAACGAAGCAACTTAAACAAACTTACATTGAAGAAAGTGTTTAATAAAGTAAAACATAAATATTAAAGCTTTTTTTTTTTTTTTTCTAATTTTGATACCCTTTAGATCATAATTGTTCTTTATTTCATAAATTACGGTTTCATATTTTTAATTTTATAATTTCTGCATGCCATTTTACCAGATATAAACTGATGATCTATAATCCGGAAAAATCGATAATCCGGAATCGCCGGAGTCCCGACGAGTCCGGATTAACGACTTTTGACTGTAGTATATATATTTCATGCTTTTTTTTTATCTTTGTAATTTATTACATGTCTGAATATTGATTACTGACATAGATTTTTCAGCTACATTTATTGTATTTTTTTTTTTTTTTTTTTTTTTCAGTTGGTTATGTGGAGCTGACAAATATTGAGGTAGATCCTCTCTCCGTTAAATCTGTAAGCCATTTTAAATGTTTGTTTGCTTGCCTATGTAATATTGCTGTTTTTCTGTTGCAGTTCTTTGTAACTATAATTGCTAATAAATGAAAAAAATATGTTCATCTTTCCCCATAAACTGCTACCTTTTGAATAAAAATTAGTTAAATAATACTAAATAAATAAATTAAATAACAATGACAACAACAAAAATAATTTAAAAAAAAAGAAAGAAAAGAAAAAAAAATCTGAAGAAAAAAAAACGTGTCATAAATTACTTCCAAAGGGGCGTTTTTTTAATGTTTTGTGTGTTACCTTTATTTATTAAATATCATGTTCTCTGTGCTCAAACATAAAATTCAGTTCAACAGCAATATCGCAAAATCATTTTAAAATGAGCATATCTTTAGAATCTCTGATACAGAGTCTAGTATGCTGGAGATAAAAAAAAAAAAAAATTTTTTTTCCATACAGTGTTGCCATTGCTCGCTTTGATTTCATTTAGTTTTTTAATCAAAAATTCGTTGAAGTGTTACAAAATATGAAGTCAATAATAAAATTTATTTCAAATTCAAATTAGGGCTTCCACATGCCCATATTCTATGGAAGATTACATTATTCAAATTTTGATGGTTCTAGGTAATGTGGTTTCATCACAATGCCAGAAACATACAACACATTCATGCATATTCTTCATTATGTAATTTCTTTAAATATAATACTGGGCAATAGTACTTTGTGGCAACAATTTGAAAAGTGAAACTATGCTTATCGTGAATCCATGCAAAATGCCAAAAACGAAATTAATAGTCCTTCTGGGAAAATTGCCCCTTTGGATTAATAACTCATAGTAAACTGTGTATTATTAACATACTTTCTCAAGTGTGTTCCCTTTCCTCCCGTATTTGACCTGTTGTTAGATTTAGAGTGCAGCGTAGTATAATATACATTTACTTTTCTGTAATCTGTTTTATTTACAATCAAGTTTCTAATGTTATTTAAACTGTAGTACGGTTTTTGGTACTACTCTTATATGCGCCCTCAGGTCGGCAGATGTGGTAATATGTGCCGCGCGATGGTTTTTGGCAAGTTGCGTGTTCTGCGATGGTTTTGGGGGCGGTGTTGGTTTCTATGGCAACCCTTTTTACATGGAAACTTAAGATTTTACTGTAGTGGTTTCAGTTGCTAGTTGGTTCGTGTGCTGTGTGGTATTTGAGTGATTTATGATGCAATGAAAGACGTGTTGGTAAAAGTTAAGTCGCGTGCCTGGTACAAGTATTTGGTACTATTCCGTTTTGAGGACCGTAAAAAACTGCAGCGAAAATGTATGCGCAAAAGCGCCAAATCTAGCAAACGCGCCCATTTAACAGCGCGCCAAATCTAGCGTACGCGCTGATTTCAGATTGCGTAAGTTTATTTTGTTCTACATTTCTTAAGACGCCATTGAAATACTACTTTAATTTTTAAATCCTTTTTTGATTTTAAATCCTTTTTTAATATCCTATGAATTTGGGGAATCGCCCATGACGAAAAGTCGACAATAGAATTTTGGATAAAGTGCAGAATCACCCATTGTTTGACGCGTTTTTAAGAATTGCACATAATCGGTATCCATGTGCACATCGATCTACTTTCACTTAAAAAAAATATCAGAATCGCACAAAAATGGCACTGCACACACTCTTGGCTTTATCTATGTACACATCGACCTATTTTCACTTAAAAAGTAAAAGAAAATTGTCAAAAATCCAATTGTTTTTACCCTTGTAAAAAGCCGCAAACAAATAAGTGAGCGATTCTGCACTTTACCGAGAATATCTTCAAAGAAAAGGCATCATTCATTATAGAAAATTACGTTTGAACAACCAACGAGATGAAATTATGCTTTAGCGATAGGTCTGTAGCGAAATAGCGATGCAGGCATCCATTCAGTTATGTTTAGCAATTTTTATATAAATTATAATAATGATCTGAAATAGTTATTTACTCTTATGCTTCCATTCAGTTAAGTTTAGCCTTTTTCATATAAATTATAATAATAAAAAAGTATTATATGAAATTAACCTTTCATCTACATTAAAACATCAATCTTAAATAGTTATTTACTAGTATACTTCCTTTCTTGCCGCAATTATTTTTGGCAGCATTGGCATCAACAATAGTTTGGCAATTTTTTACGGCCCTCGAAAACGAATAGTACCAAGTATTTTTTTGGGTGGCTGAAAATTCTACAAGTATTTAGGAGAAGAAGGTTTTGAACATTTATTTGTGAAAGATTGTATCAATTTTGTGGATAATGAGTCTGGCTGTCATATAAATGCGATAGGGATTACGTGGTGGCATGTTAAAGCTACATTGCCTTCTTATAATCAGAAATGCGATTTTGTGTTTAATTTTGTGGTTTATATATTTTTCCATCATTGTTCTGAAACTGGAGAAGATGCTTTTAACAAATTCAAATTCGTGGTGAAATTGTTTTGGTGATGTTTGAAATTGGTATTTCTGCTGTTCGAAGAAGCATTCATTCATGGTAAGTGTATTTTATTTTATTCTTGTTCTTTTCTTGTAGAATGTTATGAACATTGTTTTTTTTTTTTTTTTTTTTTTTTTTTTTTTTTTTTTTTTTTTTTTGAATTGTTTGAAATTTATTTTAGTTTATTTTGTTAGTGCACAGAGCCTAGATTGTGCAGTTCGTAGATGTTTTTTAAAGTTTAAACAGAATGCTGTGTACATGGTATTCTTGAAATTTATTGTTGTTATGTTAATTTATTAAAGCGAGGTGTGCGTAGTTCGTAGATTTTTTCACTGCCTAGATTGTGCAATTCGTAGATGTTTTTTTAAGTTTAAACAGAACACTGTGTACGTGGTATTCTTTGAAATTTATTGTTGTTAATTTATTTAAGCTAGGTGTGCGTAGTTTGTAGTTTTCTTTGCTGTATAGATTGTGCAATCCTGTGATGTTTTTTGAACATGGATTCTTGTCAAATATTTTTGGTTAGAAACTTAAGTTTTTGCTATTTAAATGTTTTGTTTTTGTTTCGGATTTTTAGCTTAAATTGTGTGTTCAAAACATGATTTTTGCAAGTGCGAAAACTGCGTTTTCGGAGACATTCTAGGCTTAAAGTTCGAAATGTAGACAAAAAATTTAGATAGTTATACAGCACCATAGAGTTTCTCACCAAAAATATTTGCGGAGAAATTTGTCACCAAGCGAGGACGTATATAAGAGTAGTTCCCAGTTTTTTATACCGTACATTACCTTTAAATACATTTTTTCATAACATCTATAAAGGAACTCTTCTTTGTGGCTGTTGGAATATACAGCTCAGTTTAATGTAGAAATCCAATAACTTTCATTTGCTTTTGTTTGACTCATCTGTTGCTTTCGTTTGTTTTTTAGATTGCCAAAATGTTGAAGGCTATAATATAGATAATAAGTCTGAAGAATGATAATGTTAAAAAAAAAAAAAAAAAAGGGTGATGAGGAAATAAGTATCACAGTCAAACTTCGATAATATGTCACTTTGGGAATCAACTAAATAAGTGATATATTAAGCTAGGTTCGAAAAAAATCTAGTTGGTCATTTTAGATTTTCCTATTAAATACAGTACATATTTGAAATATTTTACTTACTATCATATCATTTTAATTTTGTTTTAAAATAGCTTAAGTTCAATTTTGGTTAAATTGTAGTATAAGAAGTTTTTAACACTATACCATAAATTTTAACTTATCCATTTGTAGATGAAGTTCTTAAGTTATGTATTTTGAGGGCTCAGTTGCTACTTTGATTTATTTTTCTATTACAGTTGAAGTTTTCTAATTCAAAAATAAAACAAACATTTCCTTCTAAAATTCTGCTATCTTAGGCAGGGGCAAATGATAATGGTCTAACTGGTGGGGGGGCAGCTTTAAAAAGTGCCCACACCAGCACCTTTTCAAGTAATCCATTGACCTTAAAATTTAATGGAAGTTTTGTGAGAAAAGCAAATCACCTCAAGACTACTGGGACACCCACGTGAAGATCTTAATCTTGGCGAACATTCACCAACATGCACAAAGATACTGGTACTTTTACTGGTACCTTTTTTGAGGCAACATTTGCTCACTAAGATACAAAAGTGCCATGACATAGAAGTATAAATGTGCCAGCAGCATTATCCAGTTCAGTATTATGAAGAAAGCAACTGTTATTGAGGCAGCCAGGACACCCATGCAAAGGTCTTAATTTGGGCAAACACTAACCAGCTTACCCAAAGGAGCAGGTATGCGACAACTGCATGCCAAGATACAAGAGTGCAACATCATAAACACACAAATGTGCCGGCACCCTTATCAAATTCTGTGTCATGTAGAAGGCAATCCTCATCGAGGCTGTGGGGATATCCATGTGAAGGTCTTGATGAACAGTTGCCTACTTGGATAAAGGTGCTTTCATTTTTATAACATTTTATGGAATCTTCCAGGTGGCAGGACATGAGATTTCCTTGCTTTTATGCATTGAAATAAAGAATAACAACTAACAATTATAAATCTGCAATGTGTAGATCAGGTGTAGTTGGATTAAAACTTTCAGAGTCCCTAAGCATTTAAAAGATTCTGGTGCCTCCACAAAGGTTTATGCCAGTTTTTCGTCATTCCTTTTCTCTCTTGGTTTTAGTTTCACTGCACTATGTATTCTTTGGTAAAACTGGCATATTTTATGGTGCTCCCTCTCCTAAATATCTAAGGACCTTTTTTGTAATGCCTTCTTTCCTGATGCATTTAGCACAGTTAATGGTTAATCCAGCCTTGTATGGGATTAACACACTGAGTTTAATATGGGTACCATTAGTTTACCTTTCAACTTTTTTCAAAGTGCCATTACATTTTTTTTCCTCGTATGAGTTTATTATTCTTTTACTGTATTTATTATATAATTATGATTACTATTTCGATTTTATTTTTAAACAATTGATGTTGGGTGATAAAGCAGCAAAATGGTACTGGCTCTTTGTGTAATTTCCAGACAGCTCTGCCTCTGATCACAGGTACAATTTTTGATGAGGAGAAATGATGCAGAAATAAGCAATGTTTCTATATCTTTTATGACAATTGTTTATTTGAAACAAAGAGTGTTCATAACTATGGGTATTTTTTCTTGGATGTAATTTTATAAACATTCATTTAAGAAAAAAGCCTAAAATACTATAACTAAAGTATTTTTTTCCTATCAGATTTCTAAATAAAAGTCATATAAATACTTCTTTAACTTTGCTAGTTTTTGATGCTGATCCTATTTTTAAACTGGTCTGATTTGTAGTAGTGTTATAGTTAAAATAGTGCAAATTAAGAATAGGAATATCTAGAGCTAAGGGATTCTAAGAATGGGCAACACATGGGAGAATGAACTTGATTTCTTTTAAAACACAATTCTCTAAAGCTGCATACAAGTGGAGATTACAGGAATTGAGAGAATTTGGAAAGAATTTGAGATATAATGGAACTCCAAAAAGTGAATGATATGCAGAGTGATAGGTTATCTAGGTTTGACTGTCTTAATGGATATTCAAATTTCGAAAGAGAATTTTTTTAACTGTGTAATTAACTCTGAAATAATTCTGTTTACATCATATTAAATCTAATCAATGCTGATTTACTGGAGCAGTCTGCATAAATTATGCATGAATCAAAATATTTTTTTATATTATTGTGCTGAAATAAAATATGTAATAACCAGTTTATTACCTAACCTCATGTGCATTCATTTTCTGGTTGTTTATTATGTATTTCAGAGAAAGTAATTTCTTTATTTAGCCTAAGTTTATATCTTATATTCAAAGTTCTGTGTAGCAATCTTTTCATAAGTAATATACTAACTTACTAACAATTTTTGTCCTATTCATGTCAGGCCTTAACCCTATCTGAGGATGATGTGTGTACAACTCCTACAGAAAAGAATATTACATGGTTATCTAAGATCACTGCTTGTGTGAGGCAAGTTATAATCGCTGTGGTTGAAAAAACTTACTTCTCATTAAGAATTTAAAGTGCACTATCAATTTTTTTGTTCTGAAAAGAAAGAGCTTCACTATAGAGCTTATAGTGGTATGAAACATGTTAACCCAGTTTGATGTTTTAGCAACTGAAATCCACCTTAGTAAGAATTAGATTGCTCGGCTTCTGCAAATATCAAATACATTTTTGAATTTTCTGGCAGAACTTATGAATGGGGCAAAAAATAAAATTAGCAGTTTGCTTTTCTGAAGTCTTTTTCTTGTTTAGGAACAATGCATGATAAGCTATGAGTGAATGATGCATGATGAACTGTTTGATATGTAAACTAGCCAATTGTCTTTATCTGAAACTGTTTTATTCTAGTTTAGTGTCTTTAGATGCATGAAATTATCGGTTATTAATTATTGGAAATAGATTCTGAATCCATGTCTGCAATATAAAGAAAGTTGCTTTAAACTAAAAAGTATTTCATGTTTATGCTTTGCTTTTTTGCATTTTGAAGTGCATATGTGTGTGTTTTTCACTGTTGCTTTAGACAAATCTTGCAAATTTTATAAAAACTGGCCTTACTTTGCTCCCTTTCATGTATCAGGCTGCTAGTAGTTTCATAAACACATTTACCGTATATTAAAGTATTGCTTTTTGTAGCTATAAATTGCACAGCATGAAATGGATAATTTTATCCCTAAATAATAGACTTTATTTATTTATTTTGGAACATGTATAATTATTTGATTTTCTAACTTTGAGATTTGCTATTTAAAGGATCAATAAAAATTTTTCCTAACCAAATATGTTAAATATTTCAATATAATGTTCATTAAAGTACATTTTTTTTCATGTGTTATTCAAAGTAGCATATTTAATTTAAAAATTGTTTTTGATTGATGATGTAATGTAAGAATATTTTGAAATGCTTTTTATTAATTTATTAGATTAAATCAAATCCTTAGACAATATATTTTAATTTGCACCTCATATTATTACAAAATATTTTAATATTGGTAACATTTATTTGATATTTTTGGGCAGGAATTATGCTATGAAATACAATTTAACTATGTAACACTTGAATAAGCAAGCATTAGAAAGTAATACTGTATAGGTAGTATTAGTCTGTTAACAATATGGTTTTAGCTTATTAAAGAAGTTATTTTATGGTTTATGTGCATAAAATTATTATATATAGATCTAAAGAACTAGCACTGTTTTTAAAACTGAGAATCTATATATCATACAGTTTTAATCCTTATATAATGGAGAAGATATTCATAATTTACAAAGTAATTTCAATAAAATCAGTGTTTTTTTTAATAATTGTTCATTTGAACAAGAGTAAAATTTAGCAACTGTTTATCAATTATTTCCCTTGTTAAATTACTGATTTTTATAGTAAATGCTCAAAATGTGCAGCTTCCTAAAGGCACAATTGAAGACAGTCGTTTTTTGGCACTTTGGTGAAGCTCTTCATGCCAGTACTGTTGATTCTGACATGAAGAATCAACAGTACTGACTAATAATAATTTCTTGCTGCATCAAATCATTCACTATACCAGAACATGTAAAGCACATTTTTTTTTTTTTTTTTTTTTTTTTAATGGAGAATTTTACTAATGAAATCAATGATACTGATAGGACAAAGAATGCTGCACTAAAAGGCCAGAAACATTTAGTATGTGCTTTGAAGATTAATAATCTCCCACACATACTCAATATTTGATATGTAATAGTTTCTTGCTAAGTTTATTCTTGCTTAGATTGGATTTATAGTTTGCTTGTGGGGTCATATAGAAATTAATAATTATACAATAGTTGAAAAAAATTAAAATTGCTCTCTCTCCTCCGCTTTTAAAAAATTTCTTCAGCATCCTGTTACTTTTCCAGATGTATGAACTATGAATGAAAATTTTAGGTTAGCTTGCTTGATAGTGCAATTTACGCAACAGAATTGTTGAAATTTGTGTTTAACTTATGTTTATAGGTGATGTCTATAAGAAGATTGTCTGTGATTAGCAGTCAGTGGTAAGTAATTCTTATATTAATAAATCATGTTGCCAATTTAGACATTCATAAAGCAAGAATGCAAAAGAACCATTATTAAAAACTTATTATTTTGCAAATGTTTTTATTAATATTTTTATCTCAAAATGTAATTTACATTATGATATAAATCAGCATGATTTGATTAATATATGTGAAGTTTTGTGTACAAAGGAAGAAAAAGTAAAAATATATTCGAGTTTTGTGAAATAGTTTTTACTTTCTTCTGTTACAGTTGTTAGTAAAGCTATTATCATTAATGTAATTTGATTTGAGATTGCTATATGCTTGTTAGCCTTTAAATGATGGAAATCCTGGCCATTCATACATTTTTCATTTAGTTTTCATCATGTTCCTAGATGCAAGAAATAAACAGTTGAAACGATTTCCTATTAAAGTGAATTAGAATTACAGAAAACATGTCAATTTGAAGAAACAGACAAGATGTCAATTTTCATGTTATATACACATACACAGTATGTTAGTAATGAATGAAAAATTAGACATTAATCCATATACATATAAGAAAAATCTTGCTTAATTTTGAAAATGTAGCAGCTTTATTACTAATGTCACATCAAATATTTAACACTAGCTTTGACGATTTAAATAATCCGATTGACCACGTTTCCAAAATAATTGTATCACACTTTCCAAAATAATTGACCACATATTTCTAAAATAATTGTAGAAATAGAAATAGAAAATTTATTTAAAATATTTTTATAGTGATTCAAATTATTTTGTGCTTGTAGTTTAATATAATTAGTAAATTTTTAATGTTGGAATGTTTTACTGAAATTTAAGTTTCTGGTGAAATTAGAACCTTTAATTTAAAAAAAAAATCTAGTAACAAAGTTAAATTTTAGTTGATGTAGTTAGGTATGTTGATAAAAGATCTAGCCACCATAAGAACATGTATATATTTTTTAAAAAAGGTAAAGGATAATTATTATTTATTTATACTGCAGATTGCAACAAAATTTAACATTCAAGCATACATGCTAGTAAAAATATTTAATGCATATTTTCTACTGAATTTCAGAGCGTAAAATACAATGAAAAAAAAAATATGTAAAACTTAGTTTCTAATAATTTGAGCATGTGTTATATATTGTACCATATTTCATAGACGATGTAAATACAGAATTATAAAAAGAATTCATTGATAATTATTATTAATTATGAATCATACTGATATCATTACACTATTGCTATATCATAGGTTTTTGACTTTAGGGAACTTATGAGAAATGTTTTTTACTGTCATTGATTAAAATTTAATTATGTTTTTTAGAATACTTAATGTGATCCTTCAAATTTCTAAAATTATTTATTCTAATAGTAGTGTAAAGAGTTGTAGTAATAAAAAGAATTTATATGTTTCAATGAATAAATAGCTATTTCATATTTATCTTCACTGTCAATCATTTTAATTTCATGAAACATTATTTATCATAAAGATGCATAATAAAAAATTTCTCCTTTCTTAATAGCGAGGAGTTGTACAGTGAAGCAAAATCTGAAGAAGAAGGTAAGTGTCTCTCTCAAATATTTCGTAGTTTTACAAACTCAATGTTGTATTTAATTTATATTTATCTATCATAAAATGGTCATTCTTGTAGCAGGTGACCTACTGCCCGTGAACTACGATCAAAGCAAAGACCCTACTAACACAATCTTAATAAACAACATCAAAAGCAGCAGGCACAAATAAATATGATGAAATTATACGTATTTACTTTTTTTACATTACTGAATTATTATATTACCAGAATAATAGACTGGTTTGGTTATCCTATTCTTTAATGCATTTCAAACACATTAAAAAACTAATTCATTGTATTTATTTATATAATTAATTCATTGTGTTTTAAACACATTAAAAAAGCAGTTCAAACGATCAGTTGAAGCTGTGTTATTTCACATTTATCAATAGCCATCATTTTACTACTATAATTAGATATAATGTATTTTTCATTCAATGTCTTTCAGCACGGCCAAACTTTGGCCCCCATTGTTGATAGATCACCACCACAAATTGGGAAGATGACCAGGCAGCATCATGGGTGTCGTTTCTCCCATTGTCCATAAAGTTTTGTATATTAAGATGAGCCCATAGATATTCTATGGCCTGAATGTTAGCAGTACTAACAGGATTAACAGAATTTGTCCCATGATTTATCATTAGGTGGGTGTATTCATGGTTGTCTGGAATTCTGCAAGATGGTCACTCATCACTGCATTACCAAAAGTCTCTCTCAGTTATAGTAAGCTAATCATAGGAAAGGTATGATAAACATAGTTTGGGTATGGTTATTTTTTACATGAAGATTCTTCTTAAGAATTGAGAAATATCCATGCCATTAAGAAAACTGAAAATTGCCTTAACCAGGAAATCAAGTCCAGAATGAAACTATTGATATTAATAGTACAAGTTGAAGGAAGACTGGCACTTGTGCATCCATCTAGGCATATTAGATATCACCAGGACCTACTAACTGCTTAGTTACCATCTTGGATGGAATTCCAAGAAAGAAAAGTTGATGATCCAAGTATCTTTCAACCGTCTTTTTCTATTAACCTCTCGAGAGAATTTATGGCTCACCATATATTTTGAGGCTCCTCTTGTCACACAGACATTAGTATGCTTACAAACATCCATGTGTTCTCAGCAACTTGAGCCAAGTCCCATTAGTCCCATACTAAAGCAGTCAGTGTCACTAAACCACTATCCTATCTGCGCGGCTATCAGCTTTAGGTAGGTAGGTAGAATTAGTGAATGTGGCATGAAAAACTTTATCATGGATTGCATAGATAATGTCCCAGCACACTAATCATCTTTATAATGAACCCCACCAAGGGGCCATTATTCGAATTGCTAAGTTTTGATGAAAGAGGTGATGGGCTGTGATTGGCAGTAATACTCCTTTTCTCATGTGGTGCCATCTATCCCTTTTGGAGTTGGAGGAGACTTTTGAACAGTGCATCACTATTGTTCACATTACTCCCGATGTGCAATTACATCTGAACTCTACAAGTATTCCATTATTTGCCATGTGTAAAGTATTATTTGACACATTGATATTTTTTAGCTGGGTGACTCTTCATACAACTACAGTTAATTTGGTTTCAAACTATTTCTTTATTTCATATCCTCCTTGATGGTCTAAAACTGTTTCTTTATTTCATATCCTTGTTGATTACATTACTTGTGTTATGTACGTATGGAACATGATGATATGATGCATTATTGTTAACAAAGAAGAAATTAATGCATGTATTAACAATAATGCATCAATTAATTTTTTCTTTGTTAGTATTATTTGAGGCCTATATATTTCACTGATCCAATTGAACTATCATTATTCTGTTTAACTCAGAAGTTCCATATTTCTGATTTTTTTTTTTTTTTTAATTTAAAAAAAAAAAAAAAAAAGAAATCTGAAATTTCTGATATTGCATCACATATTTGCTGTATGTTGTGTTTCATAGTACATATTCACCTGGACAATTTCCTATTTTACTAAATCGTACAGTTGTACAGCCTGTTGTTTTATTTAGTATATTTTGAATATACACATTATTTTTGTTACTTATACACAAATTCATTTTTGGTACATTATTTTACATATTTACATTTCGATTTTCTTGTTTTCTGGAGCATACATGCATTTGTTGATGGTAAGTGTAAATTTGTTTGCAGTTACAGATTTTGAGCACTAGAGATCTTGGTAGAAACATTCTTTGTATCCTGCTGATTATGTTCAACTTGTCTTGCGTTATTCTGCCTGACAAAGTTCTAGCCTACAATGGTTCAATTTTTCCATATTTTTTTTTAGTTTTGGCTAGATATGTCACTGTGTTGTTATTAGACGTCTAAATGGTATGTCAGCGTTGGATGGTTCTTTCAAGTGGAGTTCTTTTGTGAGCAGTCATTTGAAAATATAATGGACCACATTATCAGTTTTTCTGCATGAGCATGTTGTTGGTATTCGGTCTACTAGAAAGTTCTGTCCATTTTTTGGAATTAAAAAAATACAAGTTTTTCTTACTGTCAATAAACTTTATTAAATAATATAATTGCCATTATTATTAATGACTTCTTGCCAGCATGAGGGCAGTTTGTTCCATTTTTGAAAAATGTTATATCTTTTATGCAAAAAATTGAACCAGTGCTTGTTTGATATTTTCTTTAATTTTTTGCCCTTAAAAAAATTTTGTAAGAACAAAAACAAGTGATAATCAGAGTGCTAAATCCGGGGAATATGGTGGATGCAGCAGAATTTCTCACCCTAGTTCTGCAATTTTTTTATGAGTCCCCAAACAACATGTGGCCTGACATTATCATGATGCAGTATGATGTTCTTCCTATTGAACATCGCCGGCCTCTTTTCTTGTACTGCTGTCTTTAAATTATCCAGTTGCTGACAATGCTTCTTCGAATTGAGCTTTTCGTTCAGTTTTAAAAGCTCATAATGTATTGGTGCTCGAATGTCCCACCATATATACAACATGCTCCTTGTTCAGAGTCAAATTTAGTGTAGAGGTGAAAGGGCTAGGTTTTCTGGGCTCACAATATGCCCTTTTCCTTACGATGTTTGGCCCACCAGCGGCCGAGCGGTAAAGTCGCTGAACACTAGTAGTTTGGTCCGAGGTTCGAATCCCGCGAACGGGCTGACTGCATGGGTGTTTTCGTGGTTTTCCCCATGTGTAACGTGTATACGAGCCAGTTTCCCTTAGAAAGTCCTCCATGAAGGCATCCCTCCCCTTAGGCAGATAGCCCTAGTATGCTTTGTCATAATTAAATGCACACACACACACACAATACCTTACGATGTTTTTGTAGGTAATCCACTTTTCATCCCCAGTTACCATCTGATTCAAGTAGGGCTCTATTTTGTTCCGAGCAAGTAGAGTTGTGCCATATGAAAACTCGATCATCCAAATTCTTCTGACTTAATTCATGTGGCACCCATCTTGAGTATTTCCACATTAATCCTATTTTCCAAATGTGGTCCAAAATGGTTTGCTGAGCTGAATTTAAGCCTTTCTGCAATCTCCAATGTTGTCAGGATCTTACTCCAACTGTCATTGTCAGCAACTGGATAATTTAAAGACAGCAATCCAAGAAAAGAGCTCGGCGATGTTCAGTAGGAAGAACATCTTACTGCATTATGATAATGCCAGGCCACATAGTCTTAACAACATCGTCGTTGATCAAAGATGGCCGCCGAGAACGTGGCTTATCGGAAAAGTTGAAATCACCTGTTTCAAATTTTCAAACCATTTTCTGCACGTCCTATCACAGACTCTACCTTCAATAAACACTTTAAATAAATTTCTACATGCTTCTGTAGCATTTCATCCTTGTTGAAATTCATATAAAATACAGTGGCATAAATGAATTTTATCAGTAGCCATGGGACTAACATGAATCACACTTAAGTCTAACATGAATCAACTTTGTTTCAGTTAATTTCTATGTCAGTATGTTTACATAAACATAATAAGCAATAAAAATAGAGAGCCGAACATGTGCCAAATAAACATCAGAGACACAGAACTTTCTGGTAGACCGAATATTTAGGAGGGTCCTTTTACAGAAATAGAGTGGGCCATGGCAGACAAATTTTTAGAAGTATGAATCAGTAAATAGAGGTAAGTTTGTAAGGCATTATTTCCTGTATGCGTGCTTTTGTAGCATAACCAACTAGCATAGCCAGTTAACAACTATTAGAAGATTCATATTTTAATAATTTTCAATATTAATGAATCTGATATCCTAATAATAATCTCTGATAAAAATTTGATAATAATAGTACTGAATCTAAATTTGATGGTTATTAATTTGCCATCATTTGAGTTTAATCAACTGGGCCTCATACCTTCCTATTAGCTTTAAGTTGGCCAGGAAATGTAAGAAATTATTTCTTTTCGCCTATGCATTCTCTTATGGTGTAAGTAGTTAACACACCCAACTAGAAATTGGAAGATCCACAGTTGAAATCTCAGTCAGTGTGTTCAGTGTACAATTCACTTTTTACATTTCTCACTCCAAAAATCCTAATGGTGCCTGCATGCTAGAGCAAGTGTAAAAGAATATGAATCCACTTATGGTTTATATAAATTTTGGCATTGCATTAAAGCTACCTAGTAATTATGTGTCATATATGAGTAAATGTGGCAATGGATATGTTTTGTTCTAAATAAAATTCTCCCTTCCTCTATCGCTGAAGTACTATATAGAAGAATTATATTTTCTCTATATAATGAATTCTTCATTGTATGTAGCAGAACATCATATTAAAATGCCATATATTTCTGATATTATATCGTGTAGCTAGTTTTACACAGCAAAATATCTGATGTGTTCGATGCCATCATTGACCACATGTAAACAACAACAGTGCTGCAAATTAAGAACAGTGATCACATCATTTAGGAAATTTACAAAGGTAGTAATTATACATGCTTTGAAGAAATATGCTTCTTACAAAGGCAAGCAGTTTTAAGAATAACCAATATCAATTGCTTTACTCATAAGTGTCATTAACATTGATTCCTGATAATGTGAAGCTGTTCTCTCAGTTGTTTTACAACTGCACTGTGAGAGTTCAGAATATAAAAGATGGTTTTGGTTTGGTTTATTTGATTATGGCAAAGCACTCGATGGCTATCTGCCTAAGGGGAGGGATGCCTTCACGGAGGACTTTACAAGTTAAACTGGCTCGTATACACATTATATGAGAAAACCATGAAAACGCCCATGCCACCAGCCTGTTTGCGAGATTTGTACTGAACTACCAGTATTCAATGACTTTTAAACTCAGCTGTTGGTGGGCCCTTCCCGAACTAAAGAAGTTTGCAGTGTTATAATGTAAGAAACATAAACTTTCCAAATACTTAATATTGTTCACAATATTCAAGATATTTTTGCTTGATAATGCAGTTATGTACTTTTAAGAATTCTGTATCAACCACCATGGTGTCACATCTTCATTTTTTATACGGTTTCAAATACAATTACATCAACACAAAAGTTTCTACCTTTAAATATTCGGGCTTGATAATTTCTGAGTTTTATAATTTTGAAATTTAAATTTTCTGTATAAAGAATAAATATTTTATCTTTAGATATCGCAACTGTTTTAAATTACGAGGTTTTTTTGTTAATAATTATTGTTTCAGTTGGCATTTACTTCAAATAAGTACCTACAGTTCTTAAGAAATGCATAGGATTGATTTGTTTTCTCTATCAAATAATTAACAAATAACTAACCAACCATCTTTGCACTTTTGTGTACTCAACAGTACCAGAAACACATTGCATCCTGAAATTCCCCCCATTTCAAGTGCTTTACGCACTGAGACTTGCAATGTTTTAATGCATTAAGAAGTGGCCTTCTCCTTTTAAGTAGGAAGCTTGAAAATTACTGAAACCATTTGCAGTTCTTATTTGGTACTTAAATTGACTGAAAAAGATCTACGAATCCTATTTGCATGACAACTTCACTAAATTCTCTTGTGCAAAAAATATCTTTGCATTGCAAAAAATATCATTGCATATCATTTCATTTGTTTTAATGGTTCTAAGTTATTCATTTTCTTAGTTGCATTAGTTTACACTCATAGTTTTACTTTAATATAAAATGCATTATTTGATTTCTTTATTTCAAAATCATAAAAATTATCAAATATCAATCAATATGTATATCAAATTATTGAATAGCTAAGTTCAGGTATGTTGATTTAGATATTTTTTAATACATGCATAAAATTAACAGAACATGCATACTATTATGAACATGAATTGTGTTTTTAAATAGCTTGGTACATTTCAGTTTGCTATAAAACTTCAGAAAATTAGGTATTTTCTGACCATCTGCACCCCCATTAAAATGTGACAAAACCCTTGGTAACTTTATAGAGAGCACTTATGAATGTGTTGATGACTTTGGGGGAAACGCTTGAGTATTTTTATGTCAATTTCAGTGATACTTCCAGCATCTTCTATTTTCTTTGTTTTCTTTTTCCATACAAGACAGATACTTTTTTTGGGGAGGGGGGCTGTTCATTCTCCCCATGTATGCAGCAATCTGGAGTGGGAGAATTGCACAAACTCGCCACTGCACACAACCTCAGGAGAAAAATCCTAAAATGAGAAGGAAGAAAGAGGCATATGATGCCTTTAAAAGAGCTACATTATGTTTTTGTGGCAGAACTATACCTGTATGAGCAATGCTGAATTTCTGGTTTCCCATCAACTTATGCTTTGTTGAAGATAAGAAAAACTGCAGGAGTCCAGTGCTATGCTTAAATACTTAAATTCACATAGCAGGAATCATAATCAGCAGTCACACTGGCAAAAATGTCTGTGGTGTTTAGATAATCAGAAAGTAACAAAAATTTTTACATTTTAATTATGCAATGCCTAGAATATTTTTTATCTACAAAAATACAGCTTATCTTTAGAAATTTTCTAAATAGAATTTCATTTTTCAGTCATAAATTTTATGCTGTATTAATAAAAATATATTTTCTTTATTTTCTAGCTATTTATGAAGAAACATACTAGAAGGACTGTGTATGCTGCTTCTGTGTACAGTTTGCTCATAATAATGGGTGCGATAGCTCAAAATGTATTTTACTTAAACATCAAAAGATAAAAATTGAACATATAACGCATGTAAACGATATAAAAACAGCACAATGCTAAACCAAATATTTGTATATTTCTTTTTAAGTACTCATTTTATACATTCTGTTTTATATTCATAAAAAAAGATTTCTCTAAGTTATTTCATGCATAATAAAATAATTTGTAAGTATTCATTTTTGTGCAAAAACTCTGTCTTAAATTATATATTGAAATCTTTTTTCCCTTACTTTAAGCTATATACTTATTTTATTCACAGTATACTAATTTCAGTAACTATATAAAATTATTCAAGTCTTTTTAACAAAACTGCTGACCGTGCCTTAATTTTCTAAGTTTTGAACAAAATAATAATTAAATAAAATCTGTTTCATGAGAGAAGAATTTTAGACCTAATTGATAGGGGAATATAAATTAAATAAAATACAGTAAATTACAGTAAGGAATGCTAATTCTATGAATTTGTCTAATTAGGTTTCAACTCTATATTAAAAATATGTCTGAAAATGTTACTGAAATGTATGTACATTATTTGACTGCAGAATTCTCTATCATTTAAATACTGATGCAGAATTTAAATGAAAACTTTTGTACATAATTGTAAATATTTATTTTATTATAATGGCTTTTTACAGAATGTCAAAATGCTGTATAATCTCTTGTACCATGTCTAGTCTATAAATTTTATACTGTAAGAAATGTTATATACTGATCAAATTTTATATTATTAAATAAACAAAATATAAGGAAATAAAATTTATTACCTCCTGCATACTTTTTATTTTTAAAAATTCACTATGGCAATGAAATTTTTACATTTTACAAGAAATCAAAATATTACTGTAGCTTTATACAAAATATATATGAAGTTCAACAAAATTCATCTCGAAATTATCAAATTTCACGCTTAAAATTAAATACAAATGCCTAATGAGAAATGTTTCGATACATATATAAAAAGGTGGCATGAAAGTTTTGCAAATACAAGACAATATAAGAATTTCTATAAGCAATAAAAGGAAAATCGTGTTACCTTAAGCACTTTATTAGTTTAGTCCACATGTTGCGACTTCTTTGCCACTTTGTTTAATATAATTCGTATAATTAATTTTTCTGCAGCAATGGACTATTAATTTGCACTGTATAAATCAGGAAAACACTATTTCACAATATAATGCAAAAATAATTCTTAATAAATACTGTTTTTTTATTATTATTTATTTAATTTTTTATAAATTAAAGTTTTGCTTTAAAAACATGTTTTTGATTATATATGACTATTGTTATTAAACCAAGAAGACAAGTCAACTATTTTGTTTCCTCATTTAAATGTTGCATAATCAGTTTATATACAAAAATAAAGAGAGCTAAATTAACAAGCATGGTTTCATAGCTTGTATGAACATGCATGTTAATTTTGAAGTTAACAAGATGAGATTCAGATTATTTGAATATTCAAAAAAAAAAAAAAAAAGTTTTTAACAATATAAAAATATATATACAAATTATTCTGATGGACCTTCTTAAAATCACAGACAGAACGGTACTCTTCTGCTATCGATACCGGATTTAGTAATGTATGTATGTATGCGCGGATTATGTGTGTATACACACGTATGCACATGTATCAATACTAACATCCATACATGCATGCATCATACATTTTCGAATCCGGTCCCAATAACAGAAGAGTAACCGATAGAACAAGCATATCTATCGTACTTGACAAATAAGGCAAAAACAAGGAAAAAAAATTATCTTGGTGAGCAGGAATATGCATCAGTATTAAAAACTATTTCTGCTTCTCGCATATCGAATAATAACTAATTTAAACGTAAGAAAAAAAAATATTTGCATATATAATATGCATGTTTTTTTATATCTGATGCAATCAGTCATTTCATGGATGTGAATGAAATGCAGTTGAAACTCGTTGCAACAAAATCTCATTATAGTAACAGTTATAATAAAAAACTAAAATTCTCCAACTGATTAAATAGCAACTACTTCTTTCATCATAAGTAGTATCTACTGTACGAGTATCTAAAATGTTATCAAATACCTGCTTTCAGTATTCAACTATAAAAATATCTAAATCTTTAAAACAAATGTTTTGGTTTCAGTAATTATTTGCAATGAATTATTTAATTCGCATATTCCTCTTCCCTTCTATTAATTAATTTTACCTGTTGAAAATCAAGAAAGGAAAATTATATTTTCTTAACAGAAAGTTAAAGGAAGAACTTAGGAGATTGAAATATAATATATATATATATAGAGAGAGATGTGTCAATATTATTAGTGCACTCTCTTCAAAGTACAGTAGCATCTCAGTGTGCATTCTGTTTGGATGCAAAAAGTTTTATTTGATATATAGTATTGTACTAAATTAGAATTCAATTTTAAGTTTGATGAGACACAACTGTGCACAACACACTTAGTTACTACCTCTTTCGAAACAAAGCTACGACAGCCCAAAGCATTAGTATGTCTATTGCTACTATTCAGTAAACAACCTGCACTATCACCTTGAATTTTCAACTGATTTTGTCTCTTCTCACATAAAATGTTTTGTAAATTAATTAACAACAAATTTTTTGAGTTACTAAGAAGAGACAAGCAATGAAGAAAATGGTTATGATAACTATGGAGATGAAAAGTATGAAGATGCCATGTGTACCCAAGATGTGGCTACTGCATACCATATGTCGAGTACCACGGTGTCTACGACTGTGAAAATCAAAGATGCTATTAAATCAGTTAACCTTGCAAAATGGCTGAAACTGATTACTGAACAAAGATCAAAGATGCTACAGCAGCGATTATGAACCAGTCGTATGCAAAGAAACAAAGTATTTTTAACTATTAAAATACAAAAATTAAATACCTCAACATCCTGTTTGAGTTTCTTCTCTAACACACTTAAATTTAGGTGATATGATCTTTGTTCAAAATCAATAACCGCTCATAGACTTTGGCAAAATAATCAGTTTTTAATTTCACAAATATTTTTTTAGCCATAGATAGATATAACAAAATTTGTCATAAATGACATGTTTAAAAGTAGTAACAGAAATGACTTCATTTATTCTTTTAGAGTTGATCGATTTGTTAGCATGTTTGCACTTTATTATCGCCACCAATTTCGGGCTCATATTGCTCTATTTTCTGTTAGAATTATTTTTTCCTGTCTATTTGCTGTTTAACAGCAGGATCGTCTTCTTGTTGCTTTGTATTTTTTAATTTTTCTACATAATTTGAGAACATTATCGTTTGTTTTTGAAGAAGTAATATATTGTGTCTCTAAATATTTATGAAAATATGATAAAATGGCTGGGATTGACTAAGTGGAAAAGTGATGATTCATAGGTAATGGATACAGGACAATTTTCTAGGACTAAGAATATTAAAAAGAAAAGAAAAATTGTTTATAAAAAATATAATGGATATTTATTTATCACTTGAGTTTACTTGGAATGAAGATGAAATGGACCCTCAACCTCAATGTGCTATTATCTAATCAAAGTATGAAACCATCGTTTTTTAAAAGACATCTTGAATCTAAGTATGCCAATTTAAAGGACAAATCTGAAGAATATTTTAAGAGGAAATTATCGGAATTCAAAAATAATAAACAAATAATGAGAGGTTTTGTTATTTCAAGTGGAAAAGCTTTAAAAGCTAGTTAACAAGCAAGTCTAAGAATTGCCAAGACTGGGCAGGCGCACACTGTTTGCGAAAACCAGCAGCTAAAGATATAGTTTTAACATTATTCAACGAAAAAGCAGCTGCGAACTTAATAATATTCCGTTATCAAATGATACAAGTCGACGAATTCATGAAATGGCAAATTCCATTAAAGAGACACTTATTCAAAAATAAAACACAGTCAGTATTTAACATTGCAGTTGGATGAAAAGTACTGATTTAACGAACTTTATTCAATTATTAATTTACATACGTTTCGAAGAAGATAAATTAATTGTTGGAGAGTATTTATTTTGTGAATCTCTTCATGATAGAACAACTGCAAATTTAAATTTTCAAAGTAATTACCAATGTTAAAAACTACTTATAAGATTTTTACAAAACTTGGTACTCTAGCATAATTAATCGAAATATGTAAAAAAAAATTGTCATTTCAGAAAAGTCTGATTTTATGTCAAAATACATTTGTTAGAACAATGCTATGCATAAATATATTATATATTTTACGTCGTGCTTTCAAGACATGAAAAACATAATTTAAATTTCGTCAATCGGGCCAGTAGAACAAGAGATATAGAACTTTTTTCTTTTCTCTCTCTCTTTTTTTTGGAGGAGGGGGGAGGTTTCAGAATGTACAGTATATGTTTCACCCACTGTATTTGTATTTTAGTATTAAACAGTGTTATAGTAGTAACAATAGGATTTTTTCATTAGAACGGATTAATTATTTTCTTACTGAAGAAGTTTGGTATATGTCCAAGGATCTAGAACAGATTAATGACTACTTATACTGAGGCACCACTGTAAATCTGTTACGGTTATTACTTCCAGTACTGTTAATTTTACTTACTGTAGTTTTCTGTATTCTGTACTGTTCCATATAGATATATATATGGAACAACAGTACAGAATAAATAAAAAATCACATTAACATATGCTTAAAGCTAAGGGAGTCGAGAATATGCGTTTACCATTAATCAATAGATTAATAGCACATTGAAACAAAGATAAATTATAGTCATTGTTTATTATGAATATAGTAGAACTGAGATATATATGGAACAACAGTACGGAATAAATAGAAAATCAAATTAACGTATGCTTAAAGCTAAAGGAGTCGAGGATATGCGAGTAAAATATAATTAGCCATTTTTAATTATTTACCATTAATCAACAGATTAATAGCACATTGAAACAAAGATAAATTATAGTCATTATTTATTATGAATATAGTAGAACTGATATCTTTTTTATGCACAACAATGACATAAAAACATAAAAGGAATTATTGTAATATGTAAATAGGTACAACCAACTTATACAGAATGAAAAGACTATTATACATTGAGAATATATGTAATGAGTATTAAGTAAAAAATTAACAAATTAAAATTGATATGATCAGCAACTAATTTCTCCATGGAATAATTTTTAAACAACAATACCCACAAAAAATATTGTTTATTGGTTTATGTGCAGAATATGAAATAAAAATATAAATGAGCAAAAATATTTAAATAAGTTATGTGATTTGTAAGTTGGATTAATGGTAGTCTCGCATAAAATTCTACCAGGAACCTGTTTTCACAAAAAAATTCAGTACAATAAAATTTGAGAATAAGGCCACACATAAAGAAGGTTAAGAACCATTGGTGGTAATATATTCAATAGAAATAATATTAATTTAATATTTTTATCTAGTTTTGTAAAAACTTCTGCAGTTAAAAAGTTTTCAGAATTGGTATTTTTAATTTTCTTTCTTCCCTTAAAAAAAATCATTGCAACTTTTCAGTCGGCAATTTTTAATAGGTTTTAACATTTTTACGATTTTTAATACTTAATTTGTCTCATACACTACTGTGATAAAAGTATTGGGAATAATTCGTGTAAAATATTAAACATTAAAGAAACTGCTTGCAAAGTTTTTCGGAAGTTGTTTCAACTTCATTCAATATTTCCTTTTATCATTTAATAAATAAATTCATTTTTTGATGAACAAGGAATTTTTGCCTTCTCAATATCCTAAAATGGCAAAAGTAACTGAACAAAGAACCTGCATTAATAAATTTTGTTTTTGCAATGGAATTCCTGCTGGGGGGAAATGAAATATTTCAAAAAATCTCTGAGAACACTTGCATATATCTATCTATCTACCTCTCTCTCTCTCTCTCTCTATATATATATATACATATAAAAAGGATATGATGTTTGAAGAAGGCAGGAAAAAGAATGCATTGGTAAACTCTTCAGTTCTCAAGCAGGATATTGATCTAATCAGAGATCTGGTACTTAGTAATCAACATTTAAAAATTACGGATATTTCTGAACAAGCTCCCATATCATTTAGATCGACAAATTTTGAAAGACCAGTTGGATCTGCGGCACATTGCTTCTTAGTTTATTCCAAAAAGTTGATTTTTTTTTCCTAAAAGCAACAATTTACTCAAATAGATTAACAGAGGCTTTCTTCAGGGCAAGTCTCTCTTAAAACGCATTATGGCTAGTAATGATACATGGATCTATGTTTCAATAGGATCAAATGTGAAGAAGGGTTTCATGTGATCAGCTGTTGAATATAATCAGTCAGTTCAGTGAAATCTATTCCAAACGTGGTATTTCCAACCAGGATTTCCAACCATGGTACGAGATACTATTTTCATTTTTTGTTTAAAAATTAGGTGCATGACATTGGTATATGTTCAAAACATACTTTCCTGCATATGCATCGATAACAGTGTGCATATTGTTAATGCCAGTGTGTGATGTGCATGTGAAGTATGAAGAAATTGTGTATCATTTGAAAATATTACCAAAGCCAAAAAAATGATTTTGATTATAAAACTTTTTAAATTATTAAACTCTTTCAATTTGAATATGTCAGATGATGAAGAACTAAAGGGAGATCTTTTAGAACTGCACACAAATTATGTTCTTGAAATGCAGTTTTGGAAGAAATATTTTGGAATAATACTTGGCAATGAACATATTCCCAAAACTTGGAGTGAAAACATACTAACTGTGCTCATCCTATTTGTGAGGACATACTTAAGGCAAGTCGGATTTAGTGCCCTTTTGTCAATAAAAACAAAATTCAAAAATCACTTCGATGTACAAGCATATAGCAAATTATTAGCAAACAAATTGCCAAGATCTGAAGAACACTTACTCATTAAAAAAATTTTACGATTTGAAAAAATCTTACCGAATGTAACTGGATAAAGAACCTACATTATTAAATTTCCTTTTCATAATCAAAAATAACTAAGTCATTTTTTTAAAGATACATGCAAATGTAATAATATTTAAAATATTTTTTCTTTCCGTGTTTCATTTTTGTCTATTTTTAAAATTTGATTACACAACTTTTTTGTAGAGTAACTTCATTAGGAAAAGCAAGAATGTATGGCACATTTTTTAGTGGTGTGGGACATGAAAAAGGTTGGGAACCCATGGCTTAACAGAAGTAAACTTTATCAGAATGTGGCAGTGGAAAGGGAATTGGGTTACTGTTCCAAAGTCTGAACAATGAATCCTCCTGTTTATATACTTTTGAGCACCTTCTTGTACTCTTCAAAGTTCTCTAACTTTCCCTCACGATACTTGTTTGCTATATTTCATGGTGGTATTTAACCTCAGGTGGAGTTTGTCACTCAATTAGAATTGCATTCCCAAGCAATTTAACTCCCAGGAGATTGCATCCAAAGGTGACATAGCAGCTATCAGCTTCACCCCCCCCCCAAGACTTACTAAAAATTAACATTCGAAACAGTAAATTTTAACAATTAAATGAATGGCACTTGAAACATGAAGCATAAACAAAAAGAGTAGTCAGCCAAAAATTATTATTAATGGTTTGCTTCGATTGTCAAGGCATTGTGTATCAAGAATTTCTCCAAATGTATTCATACAAACTGCATTTCTACCAGTTGCATCAGGAATTCCATCAACTGTGTAAACTATTAACAAATAATTTTGTTCAAGCCTTTTGAAAGATTTGTGTAAAACAATTAGTAGAAGTATAGTTAGATGGATTTTATATTATGATAATGGATCTGCTACCAATGCTTTTGTTATTTGTGAATTTTAGGCCAAATATGACTTTGCAATCTATGTATTTACCTGATACACCGCCTTATGACATTTTTCTTATTTTCATGGGCAAAATTTCTTCTTCCTGGTGACTGTTTTATTGAAGCAATGGAAGAAAATTCACTGCAAGCCTAGAAGAGATTTTGTGAAAAGAATTTTAAAATGTGTCTCTAGGACTAGAAGTTGAAACATGCTTTGATGATTGGGAAAAGTGCACTGCTGCAGTGAGGAATTGCTCTGAAGGGTATATAATAAATATTAATCAATAAATTGAAATCCTGTGTTTTATGGAATTACCTCCTAGTACTTTTAATCACAGTAGTCATTATAAATGTTTATTTTGTTATTTTTCCAATTTTTTTTAACAGCATGTTCTAAACTACAATTTTCCACTCGCTTCACATCAATCTTCAACTTCCTATTCATGTCATAATGATATATTGCCAGAGATATAAAGTTATATTTAATAATATATTGCAAGAGATATAATGATATATTTAATGATATACTGCTAGGAAAAGGGCCTGAGATGTTTACTGATTGTATAGATTTCAATAATGAAACACAAATGGCCCAAACAGTAAAACTGCAATGCTTTAAAATTCTTATTATGAAATTATTTAATTATTTATATATAAATATATATCTGTATAAATTCAAAAATTTGTTTTTCGAAGTATAATATAAATATTTAAAAATAGATTTCATATCTTTTATAAAACTATGTAAAAGGTTTTATAATTTTGCATTATGCTATAATTTATGGTACAGACAGCAATTACATCTCGGTTTGAAATAATATTTAAAAGTATAATAATATTTTTGAAATATAAAATAATAGATAAAGAGCTCATCATTTTAAAATTAAATATTTAATATTATTCAATTGAAAATAACAGCAGTTAACAGTTTATTATCTGTTAGAATCGTTTAATTACAGCATGTTTGTTTTAGGTATCTTGAATAAGAGTAGATATTTAAATAAAAATGCTTAACACTTTTTAAACTATTTATAGCAAAACAATTTTTTTTGATTGATGATAAACAATTCTTCAGAACAGTATCTCATATTAACATTTCTATAACTATAAAATTATTTTACACTTGAATAACTGAATTTGAGAAAGTGAAGTACATAGCTAATGATACATGAGACCACTTTATATACAAAAATAAAACAAAATCCTAAGCAAATAACAAGTGAAACAACATTTAAAATGCAATAATAATAATTTTAAAAAAATACAGACTTTCACAGAAAATTAAAAGCATATAAACAGGCTTTAAATGCACTTGTGTTGAAGTATGTACTTTCCTTCCTACAATGAACTACTTCCTCTAACTTTAAAAACATTTTTGTAAACTTGTACACACTTAAGAAGCCATAGTTCGAGGACACATCATAAAACTTAAACCATTTTCATCTGAAAAGAAAACAAATTTTTTTTTAACATTACATTCACTTGAAATAAACTTAACAATAAAAATTCATTTGGAATACACATTTAATTATAAAAAGTTCATAATTGAATTTTATTTTATATGTTGCAATTTTGAACAACTTGAACTGGAAAATGTATTTAAAAATTTGTTAATATGTTTTGCACATGCTTTTACTTATTTCAAGGAATCTTACCTATGACAAGCAGGACTAATGTATGGCTTTTGTAGAATGCGAGGCGTAGTCTCCATCACACGAACCAAAAGATTGTCTAAGTAATTTTCGAGATCTAATATTTTATCTCTCTGTCTCTCTAGGTCGGCTTGCTGCTTTATTGCTAGGTATACTAAATCCTGAAAGAGATATAAATTAAGCATTATAAACAAATATAATAATACACATAAGAAAATTTATCATTTGTGCTAATCTTAAAGAATGAATACAAATCTATATAGTAAAAAGCTATGTTTTTACAACAAATACCATAAACAGTTTCTTGAAATGTATAAAATATTCTAATATCTCTCATTAATGTACAGTATGCTCTTCTTAATGTGATCATGTTTTGTCTATGGCTATTTAGACAACATTTAAAAACAGCAATGGAATTTAACTCATTTAATATAAATGTAAATAGAAATATATAAATGGGTATTTTCACAGCATTTTTATCAGGAAAATGCAAAAATTTATTTGTGAAGTGTTTATAACCTTTCTGAAAATTATTTGACCGATGCTGTACTCCTAATCTTAATGTTTGTATGGCACCCCTCGTTGGAAGAGAACATGCCAACGTAAAATTTTGAATTAAACAAAAAAGCAACCTTAGTTCGTTATATATATTTTGATGGAATGTTTTATATATATTTAAAGGAATAAAAATTTAATGAATTCAAATTAATTTTAATTAATAAAAGAATAAATTTAAAATAAAATACCTTGTGCTGTGTTCAATGGCAACACACTACCCCATAGAATTTATTATTTTATTTCAGGGAGTGATAACACATTTCTTTTAAACTTCGGAAGTTTGCTGATTAAATTTGAAATATAAATATACTGGATTTTGCCCAGTGACAATACATTTTTTTATATTGCTGAGTTTTCTGATTAAATTTGTAACATAAATATCTTGTACTTTGCTGAGAAAGAATGCAAAACTTTTATATCCCCGAGTTTTTAATTAAAAATTCGTTAAATTCGCGCAATTACGAAGTAAATGAAAAAATTCAAAACTCAGGTTTCGAAGTGTACATTTTGTGTGGAGGACTGTGTTCAGTTTGGTGGCTCTAGGTTTCTCCTCATAAAATATGAAATAAAGTACTTCATATTACACAGATTCAAGTAGAAGATTATGTATGCTCAAAATTTGATCATTCTAGGGTCAGCTTTTCTTTCACAATGCAAAAAATACATACACACTTCTCTTTTTCAATATTTATAGCGGAAGTAAGCTGGAAACTACGTTAGTGAAAAGCCGTTCTAAAGCAGTCTTAAATTTTAAGGTTTATGTACTACCTCATAAAATTGCAATTCAAATTAATAAATGCAACTTTTACAAAATATGCATACAGAACAGACTTTCTTCTTTCTGGAGTATAAGGGATTGTGGATTACAAATCACAATAAACTTCTTCTTCTCTAGCAGCATTGTCATTAAACAGTCTATGATTTTATTTCTTTTATGTGATGGCATGTGAAGGAGTAAAAATAGCTACAACACTTAGATTTGTCAATAAAAATTAAACTCTTAAAAACTACTGCAAGCCTATATTTGTAAAGAGTGTAAGACAGAAAATCAAAACAATGTTATGATGTATATTATTAGAATCTAAAGGTATATATAAGAAAATTGCTTCTCCTGTGATGTTCATGTATGCTGTTTCATGACCGTTCAGAGCTGTTGTATGTCTTAGATTGAAATGTAGTAGCAATTATTTCTTATCACTCTTCTCTGTGTAGGGAAAAGAACAAACAAACTAATACTTTATTTAAGGTATCTGCCTACGTTCGGAGCACTTTTTTTTTAAAACATAGAATTCTGATGAAATATATATTTATTTAGTCAAAATATGATATCAAATCATGAAAATAGGTAAATTTTTAGGAATATTTTCATAAATTTTTTAAATATATGCAATTTTATGCATATTTTTAGGAGAATTTAACACTTGCGTTAAATGTAGTATATTTTTTTCTACAGCATATATTTCTATTTTATTTATACTCTATACTACTACAACACTCATCTGTGTTATGAACTAAAATGTTTATGATATTTTTAAAATTTACTAAAATATGTGTAATTACATGAAACAACACAGTTTTTTGTAAAATATTTCTTATCGTTTTATATAGAAATATTTATAAAACAATCAAATTAATAAATATAACTTAAATTGTAGCTTAAAACCTAGTAAATAATATAGAAAATACTATAGTGAAATTTAATAGAGATACCTTTAGAACATTTTGAGTAATTACATTTCTTGTATGTAAAAATACTAGAAAAATTAGTTTTCCAGAAAACGCATTTAAAGATTTCACATTAACAAAACTGTTCTGTTGTATTTACACACTTAAAATTCTCCACATTTGTACATCAAACCCTCCATATCTTTATACTTAAGGTAATTTTGATTTCCTATTTGATTTTAATTTTTTCTGGCTATTTTCGAAATGAGCGACAAATGACGTTCGAGTCTTTATTCTTTCGTTATCAATTCCAAAGTAATTTTTAATCATTTCTTGTCCAATTGATATGCCTAAATGTTCAAACACAGGAAGTAATCCAAGATACCCTGAATTAAAAATTAAAATTGCTATATATGCACCCAGCAACATAGTCTTTATACCTAATCGCAATGTTGCCAGACCCAGTTCAAAAACCGCAATGTTGCCAGTCCCAGTTCAAAACATTAAGCCAAATAATTATTGCCAGAAACAAAAAAAAAAAAAAAAAAAGTACCCAGAATTAAAATGAAATTTTTTAACGCAATTTTACACACAAACAGGTAAAACAAACACGGATAACAACATTGTTTACCTTTAAGTTGAGCCTTTTAAATGGCAATTGCGGTCTTTCTGCTTTCACTTCCAGTGCAGTTAATTGGCTATATTTTCTCTTATAATTATCACAAACGTAAAAATGAACCATTTTCGGAATCCTACAAAACTGACCTTTCAAATTGGGCAATTAACAAAAAATCGAATTTTTTCGCCGAAATCGTTTTTTTAACGTAGGCAGATACCTTAAATATTCTATAAAGTATTAATGCATGGAAGGGGAAAATTAAACAAAAATTACTGTTATGTTGCTGAAGATTATTAAACAAGAAAATTATTAACAATGCAAAATTTCCTTTTTATTACAACTTAACTGTTTCACTTTAAAATAATTCTCTAAAATGAAAAAAACAAATATAATCCTTTTTTGTTTGCTTTGTTTTGCTCAAGGTAGCTGCATGAAGACTGACAAGTACTATTATTGATATATGATGTAAATTTTACTAGAATTACATTTCAAGTTTTTGAAGTTTTATTCTTTATGTGTACCATAATTATTTGTACCGTGGAGAAGGTGAAATGAAATTAAAATCGGATTTTCATTTCCTTAAAGTAAGTAATTATATTTCATATACACAAAAGTAAAGTAACATGGTACAAACATGGTCAGATAGATGATGGCAAACAACTTCTTTCTTCAACTTAAAATAACTTAAAATCTTACTTGCACCTATCACTATATAGCCAATAACATCTGTGACTTAATATGTACAAAAATGTAATCTTAATTATGTACAAAAATGTATTCCAACAACAACATATCAAACCTCATGTCTTTCTCTTCCTGTGCATTTCTATGAAAAAAAAGCATAGTGCTTCTGTCTATACTTTTTAAATCATTTAATTTCTGTTACTTTTGTCTCACCCTGCGTGTATATATATATATATATATATATATTTCATATATTCTACTTATTATTCTAAAATATTACTATATATTACTGATTATTTATTACTATAATATTACTGAGGTTGAACAACAACAAAAAAGCAGGGGAAGTACAAAACCTTTGATATATTGAAAAAATGTCATGATTTGGTTTTTATTTATTTCTTAATAATTCTACATAGTTAACACACTCAAAGCTATTTTATAATTATAAATGCATACCTTATGATTCATCTTTTCATACTGTTGTATTACTTCAATTGGTATGCCTTCAGGAATTGGGCTCTGATTGTTCCTTGGTGATTCCGACTTCAAACTGTCAGAACGAATTTTCTTTTGATTGTTCAATAATGTCAAGCCTGACAGATCTGATGATTCTGCTAGCTGTAATGTATGCCTCCTCAGATCTAGAATTAAGCACAATCAGTTAAAAAGTTTTCAAAAATATTTACTTTTATAGTACCTGCTGCCTTATTAAACTTGCTGGTTAATAAACTCAACTGCTTATTATGTTCAGATTTCCAGGAACCAAAATAAATGAAATATTAATCAATAAAAAACCACCTTTTACTTAAATTCATTTCTGTCACTTATTAAACTCAGACTGGCAAAAGACTGATTCTTCAAAGTCAGAATATCCTATCTGTACCTATCAATTTTTGCAATTCATTCATTTGACATATTGAGGACTATGTCTTTATCATTCAGGTATGTAATGCTTCAGTTACATGGGTTTGACAGCATTTTTCCTATCTCCTGGACCATGTACCTGTAAGACACTGTTTCCAGATATCATTGTCCATATTTAATTCAGAGTGGCAGTAGAAGGAATTCTTTAGAACACTATAAATAAAGGAGGGTTCCTTCTCAAATACCAGCTATTAAGATGTGAAAGTACAACTTCTGCATCCCATCTTTTAAGGTTTTCACCTTCAAAATTCTCTGAGATAGATTCAACACATTCACAGAGAGTTTTAAAAAAGTTTAAGAAACATTCTAAGCATTACTGTACATTAAAAAGAGAAAGGATAATATTTCTGCTAGCAAGAAATGTAAATTTTAAAACTTGAATAAATCACTAGAAGAGTTTTTTTTTAATTAATTGTATACATTAAGTATACAAGTTAACTGACAAGTTAATTGTAACTTGTCAAAAAGCCAAGTGAAAAGATCTAAGCCTGAAAGAAAAGGACAAATAGTTGAACAAATTTAATTTTCTTGGTAACTGCAGTCAGAGGAAAACTATATTTAATGAGAGAATTTCTCAAATAACACTGTGCAATTTACTTAAACAAAAAAATTATAATTAATGAAGAAAACATGCAAATATCTCCAGGAACTGCAAAAAAGAGATAGAAAATCCAGAGATGTTGAAATTGCTTCTCTAGAATGGTTTCAAGATAAAAGTGCTTATGTTTCTACATTTTTTCCAATAATTTGCTAAATGCTAAGAGAGAATTTTATATCAACTCATATATGGCTCACAAGCTGGAGAAAGTGAAATCCAAAATTATTCATCAGAAATTGCATGGTGAGAAAGAAGAGGCAGATCATCGTGTAGATGATAACTGGATACAAACACATTTTTGTGAGCTGTTAAATGAATACAAGACATTTGAATTTAAAATACAGACGAAACTGGACTGCATAACAGTACACTGCCAGAACAAAAATTGACATCTAAAAGTGAAACAGCAGTTGGTTTTAGAAACTGAAGAAATAAGTTACAGTTTTATTAATGTGTAATATGGACCCAACATTAAGAAGATGGCACTGAAACGTCAATGTTTGGAAGGAGTCAAGAATTTACTTCTAACTTACCATAACAACTACTAATGGATGACAAATAGTATTTTTTGGTAATTTTCTTTTGAAATGTGATAGAAAAAAAAAAACTACTGAGAAAAGAAAAAAAAAACTGCTTTACTCATTAGATAACTGTGCAGCACACACATCTCTCTCTCTCTCTCAAAAGCATTAATGTCTTTTCCTCCAAATACAACTTCTAATATTGTCCTTAATTGTAGGGTATTATAAAAACTTTCAAATGCCATTATATAAAGTATGTTCAGTAAATAATGAAGAGCACCGAATTTCGTGAAAATGCAAACACTTCAGAGGAGATACGTAAGTCCATATCTCTACTAGAGGCTATGTTTATCATAGTCAATGTGGAGGGTTAATCTCTTAAAATTAGTTAAAAACTGCTGCTGAAAATGTGGCTTTATGTAGAAGTCACACAGGTATTTCAAACTACAGCTAATGTTTCAGATATCAGTGAGGGAAGTCATGAGGATTCATTTTCAGAGTATGTGTGAATTCACAACAATATTGAGACAAAGTGTATAACAACTGAGTATGAAATTGTTAACTGTAAAAAGCAACTGAGAACGTGAAACATAAAAAGTGATGATGTGCCATCATCAATCGAAACACACTGCAAATTTTAAGAAAAATTCTTGAACTAAAAGATGGTGATCAAAAAAGCTATTGGTAGTTTTACAAAATTGAGAGCGCAATTGAAAAACTGTTGTTGAACAATATGAAACACAGCTAGAATAGTTGTTTGTAAAAGATTTAATTTTATCAAATATGTAATTGTAAAAATATTCTTTATATGAAAATGATTTTAATAAGCAGTGGGTACTATAATTCCACATAATGGAAGTAATAATATAATTTTTCATGGAAATGATAATAATGGAAAAATAATAGTTTTATGGATGTAATAACATAGTTTTTACATTATTACATATAATGCCACAAAAGTTTTACAAGTTATTCCATATTTTACACAATTCCATATATACTGAAAGTAATAATATAATTTTTAATGGAAGTAATAATAATCAACAATAGTAGTTTAATGGAAGTAGTGATAGTAGTTAATGGAAATAATAATGTAATTGTTTACATATAATTCCATATTTTACACATAATTACATACAATAGCATTAACACAAATGCATGCTTACTGTGTCGTAAGGTCTCAAATTTACTCTTCCTCGTTGGTATAATAGGAGAATCAGATTTTAAGGCATCCATCAAATTTGTTTCAGATCTTGCCATAGGAGATTCTACATGAAACAAGCAATTGATTATTTTCTATATATATAATATTTTCTATATAAACCAAAAATTCATATTAATGTATAATATGAAAACTTTCAATATACCATCTCCAAGGAACAGAAATTCAATTTAAAACAATGAATTAGGAAAAGAAAAAAAGTTTAGTCAGTATTTTAATTAGTATTTTCTAGACCTCCTTTGTTTTAAAAACATAAAAATCTGCAAAGAAAAATATTTAAATTGCAAAAATACCAAAATCAAAAGTAAAAATTTTAAGTGTAGAAAAAGTAGCTAGTGTCATTGATCACAGATTAATCAACTTATCAAGAAGAATAAATCAACCCCCTTATCAATCTACCATCAATTAACAACAACTAAATAGAGAGTGTTTCATTTTGCTTCCAAGTAAGCATCAAATTTTTTGCTATATCCAAATCGTAAGTCACAAAATCAAAATAAAGCATTAGTTCATCAAATAATTTTTTTAATTAAAGTTGCTCACTAAGAACACAATTAAGCGGGATGCTCATTTTAGAAGATATATCCCCAACACTCTCATTTTCAAACTCAAATACAAAAATATACACTTAGAATATTTAAAAAGTAATTCAAAATCTTAAGATCAAAAATGATATAATCCTTAAAATTTATTATGAGTTATTGGTTTATTACTTTTTTGTTTTCTACACACACACACCCAAACATATACAGATAGATACCCACTGGATGCTTACTTGGAAGTAAGACAAAACACTCTCTATTTAGTTGTTAATTGATGGCAAATTGGTTTATTCCCCTTGATAAGTCGATTAATCTGCGATCAATGATAACAGTTACTTCTTCTATACTTAAAATTTTTACTTTTGATTTTGGTATTTTTGTGATTAAAGATTTTTCTTTGCAGATTTTTATGTTTTTAAAACAAAGGAGGTCTAAAAAATATTAATTTTAAATACTAATTAAAATACTGACTAAAATTTTTTTCTACTCTTAATTCATGGTTTTAAATTGAATTTCTGTTCTTTGGAGATGGTATATGGAATGTTTTATTATAAATTATTATGAATTATTGATTTATTACTTTGAAGCTTTAGCATGTCATAGGCTTTTTAATTTACTTTTAATTAATGTTATTTAGAACTTATATTTTCTCTCTATATCTATATTTTCTACATATATAGCAATTGATTATATTCTATAGCAGGGCTTAATCCTTTTTCAGTTGTGACCCCTTTTTATCACCGAGATTTTTTCGCAAACCCAGCACCCCATAACATTAATGAAAATTTTGTGGGACCCCACAAGCATTGCGCAAATCTGACACACGTGTGAGTGAAACTGTCATTTTTTTTTACTTGTACTAAAATATACTATAGCAGTTTCAGGCCATTAACTTTAATTTCTCATTTTAAGACATGGAACAATGTGAAAATTTTAAATAAGAGACAAAATAACAGTGTCACGTATAAAGCAAGTAAAATGAGCGTTTATATTATAAAAAGAATGCGTCTAAACGCTTTCGTTTTTTCTTTGTCTGTATTGTCTTATCTTTATCTATTTTCAGATACAGAGTGTAAAAACATTTGGTAATTGTAAAATTATTATAATAAGTTAAAGAAATATCAAAGGTGCTAAAATTTTTGGCGACCCCCTGCTGCAGGTTCCGTGACACCCATGGGAGTTGCGACCCACAGTTTAAGAAACTCTGTTCTATACATATATGTTTTATATATATTATATATAAAACAATTTAGTGTCTCATGTGTTCTGTATATGTTTTCTGCACACACACGTATATACAGATAGATAACCACTGGTCATCAAAATTGAAGGATTATGAGGAAAAATATGCTCGCTAAGTTAATGTTCCAACCAATGCCCAATACTGTAATTATTTTGGTTAATAAAATAAAATTGAACACCAAATCGCACCCCTCTGCATATGTTAGTGCTAGAAATATGTAAATTTGGCGATTGACAATGTGGTGCGCAATGAATGCACATTGAAAATAGTAGTAATGTTTAAATTGAATGTGGTTTCTGAGAGTGATCAGTATTCAGTAGTTATGACTCAAAGGAATTAAGTTAAGATCAAAAGTGGCGAATAATTGGTGGAACTGAGGAAGACCAAACACAAATGTAGGTTGCCCAAGATTTGAATATCCCTTAAAGTGTCATATAAAAAGTTTGGAGTTGCTTTTTAAGCACTGGATCTGTTGATAGACAGCCTGGTCAAAGGTGACCAAGAGCAAAAACTGCATCAAAAGACCGTTTTCTGTCATTGTCAGTTCAAAGAAACTGCAAAGCGACTACAAGAGATCTGGTTTTAGACCTTCAGGCTGCCACAGGAACTTGAATTAGCCATTCTTCTGTTGCACAAAAGCTTACCGAGGTTGAACTGCATGCAAGAAAATCAATGGTTTGTGTCCCACTCATTCCAGCTTCCAGAAGGACCCGTTTAGACTGGTACCATCATCATGTTCAACAGAGTCAAGATGATTGGGCCTGAGTATTGTTTAGTGACGGGTCTAGGGTCTGACCATTTAGCTGACACAGGCATTTAACCGATACATTTAACAGTTACAGGCATTTAGCTGATAAGACACTTTAGCTGACAGCACGTTTAGTTGACAACACATATAAACACACACACAGAAAAAAAAAGCACAATGTTTCAGCAAAATTTGTCCATATTTATCTAGAAAAGGGCTGTTTATAGGATACCCAACCAGAAGGTTTATGAAAAAGTAGTATCATATTTTTTATTTTAATGTTAAAGAAACTCTGGATTTTAAAATTAAACAGAAAAGCAATTGGTGTAGATTATGAAATCAATTTCGAGAGTAATCAGATATAGATCTCTCTATTTTGGTTTGGTTTGGTTTATTTCATTATAAAAAGCACCTGAGAGCTATTTGCGGAAGGGAAGAGATGAAGTTTAATGGTTTGAATAGGAATCATGTCAAATGGCTGCACCGAACTGCACATCTTTCAAAGAAGTTCTGTAACTGCTCGAAGATATGTGGACGAGGTAATGGAACCCCAAGTTGGAGTGTTTAAAAGTGTTGTTGGCTTAGAGTTTTGGCTAATGGATGACAATGCTCAGTCTCATCAAGCATATGTGGTGTCAGAAGCAGAACAGTCACCAAATAGAACCCACATTTCTATATGCCATCAATATGTCTATGTATCTTGGCAATCAAATTTTTTACAATATCAATACTTCTAAACTTATTTTTATTACATATATATTTTATGTCTGAAAAGAAGAAAGAAACAAATCTTTGATAGATAATCATAATTGGAAATTTAATCATTGTTTTGACTTTGGGTCTCCAAAAATTATACAAGAAGCTTCTTTCTATAGGAGAATTTGATTTTCTAGTAGCTTTTCACAGCCGCACAGATTTCTCTTGTTTAGTTAAAGATTATAATTCCAATCCAGCTCTAAAATTCTATTAAGTTAATTTTTAAATTTTAGTTATCATTTCAGGTGACAGATGAAGCCACATTCTTGTTGACTTTACTTCTTTTGGGCATAAATACAGCTGTGGATTTCCCATCATTGCGGATTTCTTTGCTGCTGATGAAGAGGGACCTGTACATGTTTGCCCTTGAAATCGATAGAGTCTTGTCTAAAATATACACCAAATACAAGGCTGTTGCTATGCCTAGTTTTATGTTTTACTTTGGTGTGTTTCTCAAATCTCTAAATAACCACTTTGATTGGGAATACATTTATATGTGAACAGGTTTTCCTCACAGTTGAAAATTAATAAGAAAAGAACCTGATTGACCAATCAGTATAACAACATGTGATGATAATGTTTAGTAATTTCTCTCTGAGGCAAATATTTACAATCAAATATACACAGTCAAAAGTCGTTAATTCGGACACTCATAATCCGGAATGATCTATAATCCAGACCTCAAAGCTACAAACTTTCTGCACATGCGGCGCGTTGACGCATGCGCATAGGCGTTTACGTGGGCACGTAAGACCTTTACGGCTGCGAATATGCTTTTGTGCGCATGCTCATAAAACGTTTACGCATGCGTGTTTAATGTATAACGGACGGTGTAAGCTAAGCTAAAATTATCTAATTCAGTTAATGTTGCAGATTGTGTTTTTCCTTAATCTTTGAATTGGATCCGGCTTATTATTTTTTGCAGACTGTTAGAGCAATTTTATAAAAGTAAGCTTAAACTTTTGATTATATCAAATAGAATTTCCGATATATATTTGCTAATATGTAAAGGATCTAAAGCGAAATGTATGTTTCGAAATCCGAAATCTGTTTATCAATTTCACGCAGTTCGGCGGGGGGAATGCCTCGGCGCACAATGATTTGGAAGTTGATCTGTCAGCACTATCCTTATCTTCAAGGCAGATGTTTTTATTTTATTTGGCTTATAATTCCTTACTAAATGTAGTATTTCATCTCGATGTACTCCGTCTTTGATATGATTTAAAACAAGTTCCTCGTCATTATAATTCGCTTCCGATAGTGAAGAAAGTGACAGAGGTTATTGAAAACGAAAAAATTTTGATTGACAAATTAGTCGGTATTCTCGACACAGCAATTATAGGACTTGAACAGTGGAACTTTGTAACTAAACAAAAAATTATTTCTGTTTAATAGAATTAAAGAGAAAGTATTATCACATGAACAGAAGCAACTTAAACAACTTACATTGAAAGAAATTTTTAATAATGTAAACAAATAAATATTAAGCTTTTTCTTTTTGTAAATTTTGATGTCCTTTAGATTATAATTGTTCTTTATTTCATAAATTATGGTTTCATATTTTTAATTTTGTAATTTCTGCATGCCATCTTACCAGATTTAAACTGATGATCTATAATCCGGAAAAATCGATAATCCGGAATTGCCGAAGTCCCCACGAGTTCGGATTAACAACTTTTGACTGTATATATATATATATGTGTGTGTGTGTGTGGTGTGTGTTTACTTACATATTGAAGGAAACTTTAATAAATAAGAGAGACTAGATTAAGATACTAGCTTGTCAGTATTTATTCTCAAGTTCTGTCTCATATGGAAAGCTTTCTCTGAAAACTTCAAAACATTTGGCTAATTTATTTTCTTTTGAGTATAATTTAAAGTAACTTATTTAATGATTAATTAACATATTAGAATTATATAAATAAAATCTCATTCTGAAAATTTAATATTCGTATCTTTGTATGTTTGAATTGCAAAGTGTAACCAACAGAAATTTCTTGCAGATACCAACCTTCAGATTTCAGGTAAAGAATTAATTTGAATTTTTTCTTTTGCATTGTCATTATTATTATTTATGTATGTTTTGATAAATATTAAGTAAGCAAAATTTAAAATGTAGTTAAAATATTTTCATATTGTTGATAAATAACTTTTACTTTATTAAAATAAAAACAAATTCTGGGCTGTCGGCTGTTTTCAGATTGAGTATTCAGCCTGTGTGCAATTTGAGTTTGTGACCACTGCTATACAGGGTTTGTAGCCACATTTTAGTTAAAAAAATAAGCACCTATAAGCACTTTTCAAGCACATTTTAAGAAAAAAATAAGCACCTGTCTAATTACATTATACACAACTGCATAATCTTAAAAGAAAAATTAGACTTGCAATTTAAAATATGAGCAATGCAATATTTATTAAGAGAATGAGATTACCTCAACCATGGAAAACAATTAATTTTATTTTTTTTTAAATTTTAAATGACAGTTCAATTTACAGAATTAGTTTACGATGAGAGGAAAAAAAAACTATGCAGAACTAAACTATATTACAAGATTTAATGATGAAATTTCAGTTCAAAATATAGAAAATAAATAATAATAAGCCATATTAATTGTATTCGCTTGGCACCTAATAATAAATACAATTTATTTTTCCACTCATATTAGTATTTAAATAATTTAACTTAAATCAAAATTCTGAAGATTTTCTAAATTTTCATTCGTATATCAGTCTTTCCCTTTAACACATATTGCAAGCAAAGTAATTTAAGTAAAAAGAGGAACATTTCTGCAATCTGGAAGACGGGAAATTTGCTTCATGCAGTCATCCTTTAACCAGTAAAAGTTTAACTAACCCGCATACTTGGAAATTGGCGAATATTCCAGTACAGTCCAGTGTAACTGGAAAAAGAAGAGCAGAGGGGGATGGGTAGACTGTAGCCGCTCTTTAAGATTTTTCGGCTAAATAAACGCTTTTGACATTTCGATATGTGCATCATATAAAAATAAGACCAATGGAACTCTTTTAAGTGTGCATAAATAAATCTGCAGACAAAAATACCAGCAAACGTTATTGGCGTAATACGTGTGCGCCGTAATTCTTCCCTACGTGATAATACGCAATCGGAATTCAACAGGCTGCCGGTAATGGGAGAATAAAGAACTAAATAAAGGAAAATGAAAGAGACTTACTAATCTGGAGTGTTTTTGATTCTAATTTTCAACAGACTGTGTTATTTGTGGAATAGAATCATTCTTCGGCTCTTCGCTTGGGTTGGGTAGACCACAAAACTTTTAGTCCTATTCAATCCAGATTGGACAGTGACAAAAAAAAAGTCCGCTGCTTCAACGGTAGAACCTCCCAACCTCCGTACTGTATAATGTATCGAGGGGGGGGGGATATTTTGACTATCCGATTAATTTCCTTTTATTTAAGCCATTCCGAATATTATTCCTTAGAAAGCTAATCTGCATAAAAATACACCCATTTTTGGAAGTTTATCTACACTTCAGCAGCTACTGCAATTATATTATTATAAATATTCATACATAATAAAAGCATAACGATCATAGTAAACACGAATATGAACTGACCACACGGAACGAGAATGCAAATTATTAAAATCTTGATAGAAATTCAAACGTGTGTAGTATTTGGGTGGGAGGAAAAGAATACCGAATGTACCGGAATTTTCTACGGTTTTTGCATTTCTTAGACCAATAGAACGACGTGCACCTGTCTGTACTCTCTCGCGCACCATAGGTTATGTTAATGCAGAGAAAGGGGGAAAAGCTATTTCTGGGAGTATGATTCACCATCTGACATTCCATATAAGGAAGAAAAGTTGTTTATTTAGTTTCGGCTTTGGTACGGGGGAAAAATGCGCTTTTAGTGCATTTAAAAAAAGCACTAAAAGCAAAAAATAAGCACCTAAAAAAAAGGGGGGGCTTTAAAGAAAAAGTAAGCACCTATAAGGGCCTTTACATTTTATTTTCAAATATAAGGACTTATAAGCACTTGTAAGGACCGCTACGAACCCTGCTATAGCAGATTCGTTTATATTATTTCAAAACCTTTTGTTATTTATACTCTTTTATGATATGTGGCCTTATTTGAAAACTGATGGAATCAATTCATAATCTTACAGCTCTTCAATGTGTTTATATATATAAGATACAGAGAAACTGGTACATAACAGTATTTATAATTTATGAAATCAGAGTTATCTAAAATGAAATTCAAGAACTAACCTTTAGCATTCGCTAAAATTCTGTTAGTCCATTCACCATGACTTGGTATCTTTATTTCTAAGGCATTAAATGTATTATTTTTTCTTAGTGGTGGTTTAGGTGGCTAAAAAAAGAAAACATACATATATAAATTTTAAACAAATATCATTAAAGAGTATACAGTAGGCTGCTCCTAATATGATCACTTTTCTCCACGGATGTTATGATTACATTAAATGAAAAGACAAAAATTCCATTTAAAATAGCAAGGGAATTTAATCAGTTTAATATAAATATAACTAGAAACACATAAATATATATTTTCACAGCAATTTAATTAAGAAAATGCAAAAGTCTTATTGATGAAGTGTTTATAATGTCTTTAATGCAAAAGTTCATGTATGAGCTGTTCATAACATTTCTGGAAATCATTTTACTGATGTTGTATTCCTAATCTTAATATTTGGAGGGCATTCCTTGCCAAAAGAGAACAAGGCAATCTAAAATTTAAAAATCAAACAAAAAGGCAATCTTAGTTTCATGTAAATATTTACAGAAATTTTTTTCACAGATTTTTTTTTTTTTTGGGGGGGGGGGTTCTGAAGAAGAGGGATCTGTGTCTGAACACCCTTAAAATGGATAGAGTTATTCAAAATCTATGTCAAACTAAGGTTGCTTTTTTGCCTAATTTCAAATGGCTGACTGAAATCAAAACTAAGTTATTCTGTGACCATACCTATTTCCTGATATTTCTCTGTCATTTGGTAATTCTTTCATTTGGCAATTTTAATTTAAGAAATTGCTACTATAGTATTTTGATTATATTAACTGAATTCTCAATCCCAATCCGCGATGTATTTTTCATGTTTTTATATACAAATGGGCAGGGCATTGGCAATTCAGTAACAATATCTGAATGATATCATTAACTGTGATCACATTTTAAGAGGCATTTACTGTACATTAATTTGAATAAATATTTCATATCACTTCTCAATCTGCAGTTATTAACATAGGCACTAGAAGACTATGACTACAATATTAAATATATATATGTATTATTAAATTCTTAGATATGCAGATAACATTCAGTATCTTGAACAGACGGGGAAAAGGGAAGGAGAGAAAATGGTTTCAGTCTTGAATCAAATAAAATTAAAGGCTATTTTAAATATTATTATTATAAACTATGATAAAGAAGCCTGATTAAAATAACACAGATTTGATTAATTTTTAAAATTTTCTGTATCATTAAAATTAGTTTACAATTAACATACGATCAGTACACACTGTGTTTACAAAAATCATTAATCTGCTGTTATTTTCATACAGTTTTTTTTCATAGTGTTTTAATTTATTGGTCATAGATATATACTTCTAATTACAAAAACGTTTTAAATTATACAAATATTCATGTTTTGGCATTTTTAAATTAAAAAAAAAATTGTAAAAATTATGAAATCTAAATTTTAATATGCTCCCTCTGTTCCTTTACTTACATTTAGGAGAATGTCAAACACACAGTAAAAAAATAAAGCACAGAAAGTGTAATTCTCATAGAATTCTCATGGTTTGGTTTTTTAATTTTCTTCAAAATTGAATGAATTTTTTATCACCTAGTTACAGATTAGAAGGGAAAAAGGTCACACTTTTTGAAAAATATTCTGTAGGCAAACATGTATTCTAAACATGTTCTTAAGAAAATTTATATTTTTCTTAAGAACAGAATGAAATTTTCTCGAGAGTTCAACCTAACTGGAAAAACATTTGAGGTAATAAATCATTTTTGTTTAGGTACAGGAAATTGATAACAGTTTGTATTTGCAACAACTGGATTCAAAACACCATTGTAATATTATTTAAAAAAATATTTTTACCATTAAAAAGTTCTGTTAGTTTCTAAAGGGGGGGGACAAAGTTCTGTTTGCAATTTTTGGAAGATATGTCGATTTGTAAATTGTTTTGAATTCATATCCAAGTGTTTTAGCTGTGTGAGTAAATCATTTAACCAGGTTCAGTGAATATTAAATTTGCAATAATCAATCAAGAAATTGTATTTTCAAATACAATATTTCAATATTTTCATGGGTAACATGTAACAAATTAGAAAGTATGGATGCTAAATAATAACTATGCAAATGTAATGTAGAGAAAATTTAAAATACTTACAGAAGTTCCTTGAATTTCTGTTGAATTTGAGCTATCGGATGTTTCTTCAGCTTCCTCCTGTGGCAATTCGTCTAGACTTCCAGCTTCTTGTATGGAACTAGTAATCATAGCAGACTGTGGAAGAGATAATGTGCTACTCTAAAGAGAAAAAACAGGGATACACTATAAAATATAATTTTGCTAATAAATGTGAGCACATTCATGCAAATTTACATTTTTAAGACAACAACAGAAAAGCTACAAACCCAAAACTACACAGCATATGAACAATTAATTATTCATAACTTTAAAGGACACTGACCATACTATTTCTCCTCCAAAATGTTAAGTTTTTACAAAAGCCAAAAGTTAAAAAAAAAAAAAAAAAAATTAATTGGAAAGGAAACACAAATAAAATTTTTAATTATGGAAAACAACAAATCCCTTTTCAAGAAAGGGAAAATATCTTTTTTTCCCGCCCCAGAATTTTTTCAATTTCTTTCTACGCAGTTTTATTCAAAACCAAGATCATACATAAAAAGAAAAGGGAGCAAGGATAAATGTTCCAAAGATTTACAAGATGCATTTCATGCAGTCATATTTGTTTTAACTAAAGACAGCATTTTGAAAGATATCTCACAATTGAAAAATTATAATGTTAAATTCAAAGAAAAATTTGTTTATTGAACTGTTGTGCAATTTTTTTCATATATTTTCTTTTCTTTATGTACACAAATGCAGGTACTACAGGTGTGTGTGTGTGTATATACATATATATATATATATACATAATCAATTATAAACAAAAAGTAAAAAAATTTAGAACCAAATTCATGAAGACATGAGAGAAATGAAACATAAAACCAGTAAAACCCAGAATTTCCCATAAAGACATAAAAAAATATCGATCAATCGTCACCAACAGAAGAATGCAAAAACTGTAATCTTATTGAAACCAGCAACATCTACCCCAACTTTAAAACTTAACAAGACAGAAAAAAAAAAAAAAAAAAAAAAAAAAAAAAAAAAAAAAAAATTATTTGCACATTATCTGGATCTTAGCATTTATAATCTTAACCCTATGATGTGCACAATATTATCTTTATAATTTTTTTAACTAAAAACTCTAGAAATTAAATATTATGATCCTGGAGACAAATATATGAATTAAAAAAATCTACTCTTGCCCATTGTTCTGTGGGTGGTTCGTCAGAAAAAATTCAAAAATAAACATTTATGTAAATTTTCTATAGCAGTGAAAATATAAGTACCTACATAATAAGGACGTTTGACTAAATGGATAAAAAAAAAACAGTAAAATAAGGATAAAAAAAGACAGTGTTTTTTTTTTTTTAATTTTAAATTTTAAAGAAATTTTTTGTGACACTCTTCAAAGCATGTTTTGTCTTTCTGGTACATGCACAGACAGACATTGCACATGCCTCTTGTTCTATGAGGTTTCTTCCTTGTACTACAAAATGTACACTGTCTGGATCTAAATTTCACTGGTATATGTCCAGTGTTATTTAGTTTTTGTTCATATGCCACATAAAATTTGCGTTTTTTTTTTTTTGCTAATTGGAGGGGGGTCTTCTTGGCTTTGGTATGGATCATTCGTTTCCCATTCATACTTATTTTATTCGTATTTCGTCCCAAAATATTCAGAAAATATTTTCAATTTAAATAAAACTTTATGCAATTTCTATTTTTAATTATAGCAAAGTATATTCACAATAAATTTAAATTATAGGAAATCATTTATAAAATCACAATACTAGCTTGGGGAGCAAGTGTGTTGAGGTCAGAGAAAAGTCTCTGGAAAAGAAAGACCTTTTTACTGGGCAGGTGCATGTATTGTTTAGTAATAAAATAACTCTGTGGTTTCAAAGCCCCTTATCTATATCCGGATAAAAATAAACATTCCTATTTGAGAAGCAAGCAAATGCCATTGTGAAGAGCAATGGTTTCAAGGCGCGACCACCGAGCCTCTAAAGGATTGTGAGCATTGTGACACAATGCTCTAGTGGTGCAGTGGTCGCGTCCTGAAACCACAAAGCAAATGCCATACATACAGATTTTTTTAAAAATTTGTGCAGTTTAATTATTGCAATTTTTATTGTTTATGAAAGAAATCATAATGTGCGATGAATAACTTTTGAAATTTAAAGTTTATATTAATAAAAGGAAATTATTTTGTCTCATTGAAAACAAATTTTAAAAGGCATCTGATTTGAAGTACTAAGACCTAAAACATGTATGATTTTGTAGTCATTTTGTGTTATTTAGAGGTAAAAGATCAGTAATCAATTGATTTTCTCTCAAAAATTTCGGAAAGAAGAGAAAAAAAAATTCGAAAATTGGTGGTTTCAGGGTGCAACCACCATGCGTCAAAGGGTTAAAAAAGTGAAACCATTCTCGTATATATGTTACACATGGGGAAAACCACGAAAACGCCCATGCAGCCAGCCCGTTCGCATGATTTGAACCTCGGACCGAACTACCAGTGTTCAGCGACTTTACCGCTCGGCCACTGGTGAGCCCCCTCCAAAAAAAACATTTGATAAAAGAAGAGAATTTGTTAACAATTAAACTTATAAATTAGAATATCAACATCTCTAAAAAAGTTATAGCAAATAAAACTTTTAATAAAATTACCAGATTTTAAAACATATGCACAGATATCGAACAACAGCAGCAAGAAATACTTCTTTTTACTAAAATTTTACAAGATAATGAAAGAGAAGGATAAAAAAAAGATGTTTTAAAGGATTTTATGGAATAATTTGTATATATTTGTGTTACTGCACAATTTTTCCTGACTATACTTTTAGAAACACACAGCCTACTCTATTCCAAGTTGTCATGATAAGCCCATGATGTGAAAACTTCATTCTTTTCTAAGCTTTGTTTCTTTTTGTTTCCTTTTTCTTACTATGCTTCTCAAATCTAAAAAAACTGAAAATTTCTAGCTTTTAATTCCCTTTTTGGGTGATTTTAAACTTGCTATCATCAGTGATGTCAAACTGGCATTTACTTTCGAATTTCTGTCTTTTGTTCATTGTTTGCTGAAAGGTAGGTTTTGAAGTCAAGTTCTCAGTTAATTTTTACATATATTTTGTATTATTACATTTTAATTTGATTTTTAATTTCAGAAAAATGTGTCTAATAATTTTTTTTCTTACTTTATTGGACACTGAACTTATTTCATAAGGATTTGTTTTTGCATATTTTTATTTTATTTTTGGAATTCCTCTGCATAGAGGAAATATTCAGAATTTTCAGGTCAACTGTTAATAAATAATTCAGAATGGTTCATCAGCTAATTTTGGATGAACAGAAACATAGTGTTTTTCCTTGGAAGGAAGGATTCAATTGAGTTTGATCTACCTCTCTTGATAATGTTGAATCAAATTTTGATTGCATTTTTCTTCCTATATACTTTTGGATGGAGAATTTGGGGTTTTTACTGGTTTTTTTGAATTTCATTTTCTTTCATGCCTTTGTGAATTTGGTTCTAAATTTCTTCCTTTTTGTCAACAATTGCTCAATTTTGTGGTAGCATATTGCATAGAATAATATTGGGATAATTTTGTTTAAAGATAAAAAAAAAGAAAAAAAAATTGATACTATATATAATAATCTATATAAATATCTGTATATCTATCGCCATATATGATACTATATCCATTGAAGTACAGTACCACCCATTTCACTAACCAATGGCTCCAGCTATAGTCATAAAAATGATGTTTAGATATAGTAAAGTGTCCATCCACTACTAGATGAGATTGCTTACACCACCACCTGGTGGAAAACAGCTGAGTTAACATTCCTATCTCAGAAACGGTACAAGATAGGAGGTAAAAGTGAAATGCAAAGTTGTACAGCATTTAGTATAAATAGACACCTCATGGACATGAATGTTAAGGACAGAACGTTTTAAGGTATATTTGTTTGTTTGTGATTTCCTACACTGTTATGTGATGAAATGATCTTAGAAAGGAAAAAACAACTAGTTATCACAAGATACTTTTACTTTCAATGTTTAAATATCTCTGCATCAAGAAATGCACATCTGGACTCTTGTTAGAGCATCATATTGCACTTCTTGTAGAATAAATAGTGGGTGACATGTTTGCTCAAGCATCTATTTTATATCGCTGAAAGTCCTGCAATGTTTGTGGAAGGGTCATATATATCTGTTGTTTGAGATATCCCCCACAGGAATAAGTTCATTGGAGTAAGTCAGGTGAATGTCGATGCCACTTTTCAAACTCGATTATTTGTTCTCCGAATTTCTCTATCAGGTGCTGCTTTGTTTGGTGATCTCTTGTGTGCAGGCACGGCATCATGTTGAAGCCATCTATTCTGAAGCTGAAGCAATGGCAATAAAATCGGGTATTATGTCTTGTAGAAGTTCTAAATATCATGCAGCCATTAACATTACCTTAGCTGGTCTACCAGATGAAAGACGATTAATCACGCAGCCTGCTTCCCTTAAACATTTCACAACCTGTAGGATAATTTTGTGTGAAGGCTATGGGCCTGCAGGAAAAAATTGCTCACACGATTGCACTGCTGATCATGCCTTGTGCCCATATTCACCATAAAACAGAACTATCTCATAATATTCGTTTTTTGAAAATCATTCCATGACCTTCAGCAAACAACTCCAATGTGATATCCCTTTAATAGCTGTCTCAGGTGAACATACGTGATGCTTCATACACTATTTGCATGATGCACAAATTTTGCACATGAAGTTTAAGTTGTGTTGAGTTGATGCGTTTTGTGACATGATCTACATATTTCAAATTCTGTTTGTAAAGGCAATGAGTGCAGGAGTGCACCCTACAGGGTTTGAACTACAGTCCTCTCAATTGTGAATTACAAGGGATACCCCATGCCATGATACCGACTTCTTTTTCATCAAAAGATAATCTTTTCATTCAAGTTTCATGACATCACAGTTTCAGAAATCACAAAGAAACAAATGTGTATTTTCAGCATTCTGTTTTTAGCATTCATGTCCATGAGGTGTAGGTGTCGTTTGAACTAAATCAATTACTCTCTACAAATTTATAATTAACTTTTTCCTCCTATCTTTTACTGTTTTCAAGATAGGAATGATAACTTCATCATTTTCCACCAGCTGGCAT